GCAAATCGAGATACCTGTCTATGCCATACATTTATCGGAACAATACTATMCCGATCCCTATCGATTCAATCCGGATAGATTTATGCCGGCAAATAAAACAAATATAGTTCCCTATACTTATCTACCGTTTAGTGCCGGTCCTCGACAATGTTTGGGACAACGACTGGCGCTCATTGAAATAAAACTGGCGGTCGCACAGTTGGTTCGCAAATACCTGTTCACCCCAACCGCACGTACGCCGGTTCCCATACGTTATAAACCGTGGATTATGTTTGTTGAACCGCAAGATGTTTATGTTAAAATTGAAACCAGATAGTTTACAATTAATGTAATATTTAACCATGGCAATATATACTAGTAAGTATAGGTAGTAATATTTATTTATTTAGTATAAAAAACTATATACTGTATTTTAAACTTAATAATTTACAGCAATTATTATTTAGTACAGTATTATTAAATACAGTAATATTATTACTATTAAACTTTGTTAATAATTAAATAATATTTCTATATATATTTATATACAGTATTTTATGTATAACTTGTTTTTTTGTATAAATATATTTTAATTTTTTTCAAAGTGATTACGGTAATTATCTATGTAAAGATACAAATAAACTTTTATAAATTATTTGATTTTACTTAATCTAACAATTATTGCTGAGATTGTATTTAAAAMTATATGATTATTATTTAAAATAATTTTACTCAAATTAATTAATTTATTTTTCAATAAAATTTATTAACTAAATAATTTGTGTTAAATATAAGTTTATTATTATTATTAAACTTATTTTATAATACAATTATAATTTAATTATCGGTACACAACTATCGGCTCTATCTATCAGATATACAATACAATGTATATATATTTTATTTTTAAAAAAATGACTCAAATTTTTTTTCAATTTAATGATTAATTCAATGAATATAACTATAATTTGATTAGAAAATCAACACTTAAACTACTATTTACACCACTGTCTGTGTGTGTGTTGACTATCATTGATCGTTATGAGTATCAACCGTTGCTTCTCCGGTAAGGTCGTCACTGTTGTTTGGTTTTCTATCTTTTTTCCATCCCTTCCAATGTTTGCGGGCCTGTTTGAATAATGGCATCTTATCTGATTCGTAAAGCGGTTCCCTTTCGCCACTGAGTATCTGTTTTTCTTCTTTTTCCAAGTCGTCCTTCAAATAGAGAAAATACTTTCCGCGCATAACTTTCGGCATCATAACCACACCCGTACACGGACACTGTCCCGGTTCGGCACACATACACCAACGTTTCAATTTGTAACCAAACAGTGCCGGATTATCTTCTTGGGTAATACTCTTTTCCATTGCCAATATTTCATCTGTTTTGCCCAATGTTTTGATTAATTGATCCATAATTTCGTGACGCGATTTCGAGTCGCAATCAAATACAACGTCTTTGCCGTTGTCGAGCCAACACCTGATGAACGGATTGGGAAACTTTTCCACGTGTCGGACAATCTGTAGTTCGGGATTCATGTATTGGATTTGCGGTATATTCCAGAAGTATAGTTCCCTAAAACAGTAGATGAAAAAAAACAAGACATTGTTAGCCACACAGACAGCTCAAGTGATTCATCACTTTAAAACAATTGACAATAAAAATCAATGGTTCATAACATCTTATAGACAAATGATTACCTCAAACCAATGTGATTATCATAAGTGGGATGTGGTTTATTTGATCCATCTTTTCGCCAATACTTCCAGAATTGATTGTAACAAATCTCCATTATTTTTACACGATTTCTGAAGACTAGTTTACCAGAAGTCAAGTACGGAATGGTTCGCCGTATAGGCGACGGACCAAAGAAAAACGGCATCACTGGTGATGATGACGACGACGACGACAACGACTAATGTTAAGCTAATGACTAACAACAGATCCAATAACAAGAAGTAGTTTTAAAAACAACAGAAAAAAACTTTTATAAAGAYATTCATTCAGTCTTTTAGTGTTTTGTTATTCAATTAGTTAGTGTTTACTACACGTGAGGGTCGTTCACAAACAACGTACACATCATTATTGCATTCATTCATTAATTATACGATAAATTAAATGTAAAAAAAATATCAATTTATCGGCAAATTTTACGATTAATTTTATAATTTATTTATTTTTTATATCAAACAATATTTCTTTTTAAATGACAATCAAAAATCAATTATTAATTAATTAATAAAACAATTAATTCATGAATTTTGAAGACATGAGTTGTCGGCTGTTTTTTAGTTGACCACTCAATCGCTACTAATGAATGAGTGGCCAGATTTATCTAAGCCTTCTGGCCTCTCTTTCCGACTCGAGTAGGGTTAGTATGTCTCCTTCACGTACGGGTCCCTTAACATTGCGAATGATTGACCGATTATCGTCCAGAAACTCGACCCGAACCTGAGTACACTGTCCCTGTGAACCCGTACGGCCCAATACTTTCGTTACTTTTGCCAACTTTATCTTATCCATAGTCGCCTATTCAGATCAAATTCATATTGTTATTCATTAATTATATGATCACAATTGTCACCGAAGTGGCCAAAGTGTTTACCTGTGGKTTAGAATCGGTCTAAGAAGTGGCCAACAGTTATGTTCACGCGTTTAGTCAAAATCAATGGAGACTTCAAAAGGAAAGGAAAACGTGTTATTCATTTGAGTCTATAGTCTATATTTGAAGGGACTGTTACTATATTGCCATTGCATTACAAGTTTTTTTAATGTACAACAAAAATAATAAAACATTAGTTTAAAAACAATACAAACCAAATAATTAAAAATCTAATAATTAAAAAAACTAAATATTTAAATCAAATAAATATAACCAAACAAAAAATAAAACTTTTTTTAATTCAATAGTTTTGTTTGAAATAAAATATTTATAATAWTAATATTAATTTAATATAGAGTACACTGTATTTAGTAATGTATTTACAGTCCCTTAATCCCTCTATGAATGCATTTAATAATCGATCCCTGAATGATGTCAAGTCAGTGAACATCCCTTTCCTGTTGAGTGTCTGTCTCAGCGATGCCTGGATTTAGTGAAAAGGTTTGTCTTTTAACCACAAAATCAATTGATTTTATTGTTACAACTGTTCGGTCACTAAATATATTTATTATGAACAATGTAGCCGATCCTTATCGACGGTCGCGGCCACCTTATGGGTCGGTTGGCAACCGTTGTGGCCAAGACTTTACTGCAAGGTTTGTATTATTATTGAAATACTTCAACACGTGTTTCGCTTGTCGGCCGATAATGACCACATCGGCAATCAATGGTCACACCGAATATATATATATCGGGAGACTAATTGATTGACGATAGTGTCGGCGCCAGTCAATTATTGAAATGATGATAACTTCACACCACTGTCTTATGATAAATATAATGATATTTACTTTTACATGCACTACCATCTGATCCAATACGTTAAACAATTGAAAACACGTGTCACTGATTGATGATAATTGAAGTCTAATTAATTGTCTTTTGTTTCGTTTATTATCTTAAATTTTAGGTCAAAAAGTTGTTATCGTCCGATGCGAGGGAATCAATATTTCCGGTAGTTTTTACCGAAACAAATGTAAGTTTTTTATTTAATTGATCCCAAGAGTTAATTGTTAATACAAGTTCATAACAGACATGATGCCTATCTTAACCTACATTATCTGAAATACCTGTCGATAATAATCTTTAAATTACTGATCTGTTTCTATCCATTAATCATTAATTTTTGCAATCATATTATATTTTGTTCACTGATTTTATAATTTATTTCTTATGATTTTTTCAGTAAAATACTTGTCGTTTTTGCGAAAGAAGTGTAATGTGAATCCATCGCGTGGTCCATACCATTATCGGGCACCGGGAAAGATATTCTGGCGAGTAGTGCGCGGTATGTTACCCCATAAGACCAAACGCGGTAACAAAGCATTGGACAACTTGCGAGTGGTCGAAGGCATTCCTCCGCCGTACGATAAGAAGAAGCGAATGGTTGTGCCGTCGGCTCTGCGTATTGTACGACTGAATCCCCGACGAAAGGTTGGTTACTAATCAGTTATTAAGTTTTATTAAATTAGTGACTAATTTCGATGTTTTTATTTCTCTAAATAGTACTGTAATTTGGGTCGACTGTCCCATGAGGTCGGCTGGAAGTACAAGTCGGTGATCGAGACGCTAGAGTTGAGACGCAAAGCCAAGTCTGCTATTCGTCACTCGCGTGTTAAGAAAGACGACAGACTAAGAGCAGTGGCCAAGAAATCACTTGAGGCTAAATTGAAACCATTGACGGATCAGATCAGAGCGTTTGGTTACGACGTGTAATCTGTTTTTCATTATTATTATATTGTAATTGATTTTGAATTTAATATTAAAAAATAATTAAAAACAATGATTAAAGACAGTATAAGTATTTTGTTGTTTAAATTGATTGATTGATCCAATAAATAGTTGATTATTAAAATTCAAAATCAACTAAAAACTAGACGACAACTCATGGTTTTTAAGTTTTATTTGCTATTGAGGTGTCATCTGTTGGTTGTGTAGTGAAGAGTAATGTTTTGAATGACAGACAACACAAAACATAACAACAACTACTTGTAAAATATAAAAGACTTGAAGTGAAGAATTGAATCCAATCGAGAAAATTATCCGAAGATTATCTGAATGTTTGAGCTGTTGATGTAGTGATCATCAGTACAGTACTAATAAAGTGGTCGCCACTGACATCGCTGACATGGGTTACGATTGTTTACGATTTGCCGTCGAAGTGCCCGAAGAGCTGATGTGCTCCATCTGTAATGACGTGTTATGCGAACCGCTGGTCACCGAATGTGACCACTTATTTTGTCGCGAATGTATTACCGAATGGTTGTCCGTCAATCGTACGTGTCCTATCGATCGGCTGTACATAACCTCACGTAATCTGCGGACAGCGCCCCGCTATGTGCGCAACCAATTGGGCCGACAGCTCCTTAAGTGTGACTTTGCCGACGACGGCTGCCAAACGATGGTAACATTGGATTCGCTGTACAAACACGTCAACGATTGTTACTATAATCCGAAAAAACGTCTGATCTGTCAGAAGGGCTGCGAACGATGGATGACAAGAGAACAGCTTCAGAACCATAACTGTTGGCGAGATTTACGCAACGATATGATCAAACAGGAAGAAGTAATTGCAGATCTGAGACGTTGGCGATACGGACTAATCGGTTGTCTTATTGTACTAATGCTATACATATTGTTTCCGACATTAATGGTCAGTATGTGCTTTGAAAATCTCTTGGTATTGATGCCGACGACAACAATGTCTGCCGTCTCTACTACCGGTGCAGCTAATAATGATGACAACTCTGGCACCTAATAATGACAGTCAGTCTCCGTCTAATAGTCRAGAAGAAGAAGGAGAAGAGAAAAATACGACGACATCGATATAAGAATCGATTGAATAGTTGTTGTCTTTTATCATCTTTTTCTTCTTCAACTTCTTTAAGTGAATTGAATTAACTCATTGTCAGTCATTGGATTAGTTTTGTTTGTTTTTTTTCGGTGACAAATACAACCAATAGTTGTATTACTATTTCTCTATATATTTATTAATTGCTTTTATTTATAGTTTGATTTTAATGATTATGATTATCGTATTATTATTATTATAATTGCAAAAAAAAATAATAATAATTGTAAATTTAAAATGCATTTTACCTGTAATAATGTTTTGCTTTTGTTTAAATGATTTAATTATTGTTTATGTTTGAAACAAAAAAAATGTTTTGAATCACTTTATTATTGATATGAAGTTATTATTTATTATTAAGAGTTTAATTATATTAAAATTATTTATTATTATTATTATTTATAATAGTATAATTTACATATAGACATAGATAAGTGAAATTTTTTATTTAAAAAAATATGTACCGGTATATAATTATATAAATTGTCTAATAATGTGATGATATGTAGAATATTTTTGCAATGCAAATAATTGTTTAAAAAAATATTTATCTATATACAGGTACAGTATATTTATATAGCAATTTGTATTAAATAAAAATATTTATGAAAATTATTTTAAATATATTATAATTATTATTTTTTTTATAAAAAAAGTTTGAATCTGAAGTATGGTTACACTTTGAGCAATAAAATTTTGTTTGAAAATACGGTAATATACAGTATATATATATTAAATTAAATATATATTTATCTATATAATACCTCTAAATAATTGTAGCAAATTTTACTATACATACGATAATGATATAATATTAAACATACAAAAATATAATGGTAGATAAGCATATTTTCAACAAAATTTAACATCATTATATAATTACAATCAAAATATATTATAATRTATTTGAATATTATTATAAAAAAAAGTTATACACAATATTATATAAATATATATATTATAACAATAATAATAATAAAGTTGTACTTTCAGACTATGTATGATATTATATATATTAAGTTTTAAATTCAACAATAATAACAAAAATCTCATAATTAGCATATAAATTATATCATACAATTTGTTTTAATAACTACTTTACAATTATAATTTGGAGTAATGAATAGGTAATATATTGATATTTATTATTTTTTCCTAAAATATCTATATCTATATATTGAATATATAAAAAATAGTTTGTTTGTCTTTTTTAATAAAATATTTATATTAATATTTTACTTATAACTGGCATTGAATGGCAAAGCTATAACATTAGTTGGATAGCCAGTCGGCATCATTGGTATCACTGGTCCAACGATGTTTGTATGACTACTGATGATGGATGGATTGGCAACAATCGCACTGGCAGTCGATGAGGTGATAATGTTAGAGTTTGTAGTAGTAGTAATAGTATGAGTAGTAGTAGTAACGATAGGTGTAGGCATACGGGTATTGGTGGGAACGGTATGTTTTGTTGTTGTTGTTGAAGCTGAAGCAGAAGGTGGGGTACTATTGGTAAACGATGGCGACTTCTGAAGCATCAGAAACTTCATGAGAGCTTCGGTGTCGTTGTGCAACATATTGATATGTGATCGCAATTTCTGTACTTCTGTTTGGACATTACCACAAACAGGACATCGGAACAGTGTTTGCTGGGAATCGTTGACCGATTTTTTTGTCTGTTGCCATATTAGTGACAATATAGTGGACTCGAGTTTGTCGATTTGCATTTTAGCCAAATTGTTACTATTCTTTAGTTCGGTTTCTTCGGTAAACAATGTCTCCAATTGTTGTTTTTTACGGTTCCGATACTTTGCCGCGTGATATATATTCAACGATCGTTTCTTTTCTTTTCGGTAATCACTAATCAGGTCATTGCTRTTGCTGTTAGTATCATCCAAATGTCCATCAAGTGAAGATGGTGCYCGTTTTCGGAGATGGTCACCGACCAGAAAATCGTCGGCTATATTGTAGCCATTCATTGCTAGCTTATTACGGTTGAGCTGACTTTCGTCTATAGATGTCGACCGGAATAGACTCGGATGATGTATGTGCGGAAACAGTGGGTATCGCCCACCACCAGCCATATGAAGTGTGTTTCGGTGGTTCAATAGGTCGGAGGACAGCTGGTGGTTATGATGGTGGGCCCGGTTATTCAAGTTCAGGTCAAATGGTTTGCTTAAGTCCAAAGCTATTCGCTGTTGAAGTGATGTCAGTGCCGGTGGTGTTGGCGGCGAAAATTTCGGCGGACTCGGTATCCATACGGACTTTTTTGGCCATTCGTTAGTAAATTCTGGTTTATGATTGTTGGTGACGGCAGGACTGGTTTCGTTGCTACCGTTTCTATCGGACAACCAGATTATATCATTTTGTTGACTTTTATTACTATTACTATTATTATTACTTATATTGATATTTATATTATTATTATTGACACCGATTTTCTGGTCGTCTACTAAATGATGATCTTTTATCTGGTGTTTCAACTTATGTCTAGTGGTGGCGACGGCTGTGGTGTTGTTGTTGTCCACAGTTTGTTGGACATTGTTTCGGCAATTTGTTGCAAAACTATTGCTATATTTGCTGTGATTTTCATCGCTATTTTCCTCATTACTTTCATAAAGTCCTCTAATCTAATGATAAGAGCAAATAACAAAAAAAAATTATTGCAAATATTTATTTAATTATATGTTTGTTATATTGTATAATATAAAAATAATAGAAATGTTATTTTATTTTATTAATTAAACAAATAATAATAATAAACAACAATTTCTTTGCCAATTTTTTTTTATAATTAATTATATAATATATAGTGTATATATATTTAATAGTATTGTTTTTAGTATTATTATTATTACTATTATTTATATTTATGTTATTATTATTGCTATTTTAAGTGAACGGAAAAATCAACCGTTGATTAACTATTAGATTCAGACAACAAAAAAAGTATCAAAACTTCCTGCAAATTATAATTAAATGCAAACATTTTTTACTATATGTTATGTGTGTTTACGAGAGGGAGAGAGAGAGAGAGAGAAAAAAAATGGGTTTAATTACAGTATAATTGTTTTTAAATGACTAACTGTTTTCAAATATTTTCTGTGTTTATTATTTTTTTTTACTGATATATCAATTAATATAATTTAATATATTTTTTTGCTATTAGACTATTAAATGGTTTTTTACAGTAAAAAAAATATGGTTCATATGTCTCGACAAACATACAGTATTTATTTTGTTTAAAAAAAATAATGAAATATCATATTTTTCAATACTGTGTTTTGAAATATGGTTTTTTAACCCTATTTTATTTGTATTTCATATTTCAAATTAATTAAAATTAATGTCAATAGACATTAGACAAGATATTACATGAAAAACTATTTTTTTAAAAATAATAAAAATGATAAAAACTAAAACAATTTTATTTCAATTTAATTTCAATAGTATTTTTTTTGTAAAAATACTGTATATATATATATGATTTCAGCATAAATTATATTAATAATAATAATTATTATTATTATTACTAATCTACAAATAATAATTGTATTTATCAGTGATTTTTAATATAAATTAATATACGGATTAAAACCCTAGCAATCAATTAAAACATATTTCATTTTTATTTCATTTTCATTAGTAAATAACTAACTCTTTTTTTTTGTTAATTAAATATGATATAAGTTTTTTTTTGTTATCAATTAAAACTAAAGTACTTTATTAAGAGATAAACATTTATAACATTTTATGTTTAATATATATATAATATAAATGATATATTACATAAAAATTATTAATTCGACTGTAAATTATATAATTTATAGTGCAATGCAAAAAAATATATTGAATTTTATTTTTCATTAAATTTTTTTGCAGATAATAAATATATTTTTTTTTAAAAATAAACTGTTTTTATCATTCAATTCAATTTCAATGAGTTATTCATTTGGCATTAATAACTATTAGAGAATTGATTACAACAAAAATGTTTAACTCAAATAAAACTATTAACTATAGTTGTAATGTAGTTAATATTAATAGTTAAATAGAGACACACATAAACATAAACTTGATTATTATTTATAATATAATATTTTTTTAGTAATATTTACATATAATGTCTATTTTTAATATAAAATAAATAAATAAATAACTTTTAATCTATTATAACAAATTCTTTATATTACACATACAACACATACAACACATACAACACACACATACATACATACATACATACACACACATACACACACACACACACACACACACACACAAACACACACATACATACATACACATACACACACACACATACATACATACACACATACATACATACACACACACACATATACATACATACATACATACATACATACATACACACACACACATATACATACATACATACATACATACATACATACATACATACACATTATACATACATAGTCAATGAATGCCATATTACAATATATTAATAAAATGCAAATATTGGAAAACAATTTTAAAAATGAGAAAATATTTTTTTTTATATAAATTAAACAATAAAATAAACTTTTTTTTCAAACAAACCTTTAACTCTTTGGCACATTTGAGTACTTGAGGCAATCGATGATTGGGAACAGTTATGCAACCCCTGTAGATAAACTCGATGAGCGACCGGAGATCTTCATAGTGCATATCCTTGACCACAATAACCGGGTATTGGCTCGGGTTCTGTATGCGGGCCAATACATCGCGAAAATAGCTGGAAAAGGCCGACAAAACTAATTTATGGGCTTTGATATACTGGCCGTCGTCGAGACTGATGGTCACATCCGTGTGCACATCACTGTCAAAAAGTTCATAAATAAATCGATGCAGTTCTCGCTGATGGTCGGGTAGTCTTAGTACGTATGCCTGAACCGGTGCCGGTCCTGTATTGGATGATACCGGTGCTGTTGTGGCTGCTGTTGCTGCTAAATGGGACAACACTGGAGTCCGGCCACCATAGACACCGTTGAGTGCTGACTGATGATGACCACCATTCACGGGTCTATCGATAATAACTGGACTGCCTATTGTGGCTGCGGTACTGCTGGTAGTGGTGGCCATTATCGGTGACTATAATATACTTTTTATATATATATAAATGTTATGTGCGTTCACTATATTATTATTATTATTATTGAAACCAATTATGGAGTTATTATTGCATATAATATTATTTTTTATCACAAATTTATATGAATTATGAGCTATTTATTAGCTTTTTTAATACAATATGTTATGCCGTATATCTATGTTTATCAAATAAAAAAACTATATTATTATATTAAATATAATAATTATATCGCAATTTATCAAATGTATAATAATTATTATTATTATTACTAACTATTAATATTTTAGAGCACTATTGCTATTGAATGCAATAATTTTATATAATATATTTGTAATATCAATATATGATATTTATTTATTAGATATATATATAATAGTAAATATGATAGATATGTAATATAAATGGGGAAAATTGCACTAAATTTTTAGTTAAATTTTCATCACATAACATATGAAAAATATAATATCATTTCATAAATGATATAACAAACAAAAACTTTGTATGTTTTATTAATGATATAATATATATATATAATTAAATATATGTTTAGTTAAATATACAATATATACATACATATAAAATCATATATACATTTATAATGTACAGTATATATACACAGTATTATTTGATTATATTTTTTTCTTTCTATATATATATTTCTCATACATTACTGATATTATTATTATAACAACATTTATAGTTGTAATATGGTATTATAAAACAGTATTTAATTTTAATTTCATTGCATATTTTATTTAGTATTGAAGTTGTTATGCACCGTAGCATTGAAGTGTACAGTAAGTATACAGTATATACAGTATATTTAATATATTATATCAAATATACTGTATATATATATATATATTTGTTGTATATATAAAAAAATAACTATTGCAACACAACAGCAAACATGTGATGTAATCATTATGTAATCTATAGGAGTATATCTCTCTCTCTCAATATAATTCAATCATCACTATTAATAATATCATAGTGTTGTTGTGTAACTAAACATTTATTACTGTTAAATAACTTTACACAAGTACTGTAATATAGCATTGCATGTAAATATACTGTAGTAGTAGTAGTAGTAGTAGTGATGGCATGTATTGAACAGTCAGTCACTAATAAGCAAGTCTAATGGCTATTCACACTATCAGCTTATGTAGTTTATCTCCCTGAGCTCTCTCTCTCTCTCTCTCTCTCTCTCTCTCTCTCTCTCTCTCTCTCTCTCTCTCTCTCTCTCGACATTAAAAAAGCAATATTATCAATTTATTTTATACACACACAAWTTRGTTATTGCATTTAATAAAATCACTTTCAATATAGCAATATTACAATACAATCAAATAAAATTTATATAAATTATACTGTATATACTGTATAATATACTGTACTCTACAAAAAAATCCCATTATATTATATGCATATTTCAAAAAAATATATACATTAATAAAATATAATATAGACAACCCTTTTATTATTATTATTATTATTAGGAGAAAGGACTGGTACGTCAACAAGTAGTATACCTGTGCGACATAATTAAAATATTAATATACAGGTATAATATAATAATATTGCACTAAAAAAAGTAGTACACAATAGTAAAATATAAGTAAAATATTATTATAAACAGTATAATAATTTAATAATAAATTATCTCTCAAATCATTGATATAACTGTTATTATATAACATACAATATTATTTGCAACAATAGATATCATATAATATATAAAAACAGTTATATAACTGTTTTATAATTAGTATTTTTTCAAAAAATAAAAAAACACTTTAATAAATGCCAAACTATTTGATACTATTTTTTTAATTACTTTTACACTCAAAACAATATTTCGTTCAACAAAACAGCAGAAAAAATGATAATTTGTATTATCATCAAAAAAATTTATTATTATAACACAATTTATTGCAACAAAAAATGATTAAAAAAATTACATAAAACTACAATAAATTTTTCAAAAAAAAAAAAAGTTTTAAAATCAATATAAATAATAGATTTATTTAATTTTTTACTTAATTTTGTTGTTTTAATGCCGATAAATTGTCAATGGTCAAAATGCAAAAAATATGATTTATTTAAAAAAATTAAAAATTAATAGAAAATTTAATTTTTTAAAAAAACCCATTTTTATAAATAAAATGTTATTTAAATTTAAACTATAGATGGTGTGCTTAAAATAATTATTTACTACTATTTGTACTAGTCAATTTAAAAAAAATATATATTATGAGTTATCAACAAACAATATGACACATTTAATAACTGTTGGATTTATGTATACAGTATTTGTGATTTTTCTATAGAAAATTTGTACAGTATTATATTAAATATACTGTAAAAATGCTAAACACAATATGCAGACACCATTAGGGATGACTGTAGTTTGATTAGAATAAAAATTTCAGTGTATTATRACTCTATRGACGAACCTSTGTGTGTGTTTCACAGGGGTGTGRCACTCAATTTAGATGYAYAGCAGCTATACGTGTGATYACTGGTTATCAATAACTTATTTATATTCTGTATATCTCTATATGTTTTAAACAAAATTTGATTATTTTATCGACAATTTATTTTCAGTGGCCATTGTCTTACCGATAGTAGTCTAGACACGTGTGTTGAGAAAGAGACAGACAAAGATAGTGTTGGCCAGMGATATGAGTGTCGAAAATCAAGTAAACAATCATCGGATGGACGGCGGCGGCGATGACAATGGACAGACCGGTCGCCGACAAAACTTATCGGTTTCGTCGGACTCGAGTTCGGCATCGGATTCGTCTTCGGATTTTGTCTTCTATAGTCAACGGCCCGACTGGACGGACATCAAACCTGTTGCACAGGACGACGGACCGCATCCGGTAGTGGCCATCGCCTATAGCGACCGTTTTCGCGATACTTTCGACTATTTTCGGGCCATTCTGGCCAAAAACGAGATGTCTGCTCGGGCTCTGCTGTTGACCGAAGACTGTGCCAAATTGAATCCATCCAATTATACCATTTGGTACTTTCGGCGACTGATTATCCAAGAGTTGCGCTACGATTTGAACGAAGAGCTACAATACATTCGTACAGTGATTGGCGACAACGCCAAGAACTATCAGGTATGGCATCACCGCAAGTGTATTGTCGAACAAATCAAACAACAAATTGTCGACAAATACCAGACTAAAGCAGAAGAAAAGGACGACAACAGCAGTGGTAAGCGATGGTCAACTYAATTYWCGTACGATTTTAATACATTGATATAATATGTTTCTTTACCGCTTYTTCCTATGTATTGTAAAGACATGGCTCGAGAGTTGTCCGATTTGGTGGCCGAAGAGAAAGACTTTGTAACGATTATGTTAAGACAAGACTCGAAGAACTATCACGGATGGCAACACCGACAATGGCTTATCAAAGACTTTGCGGTATTCGATGGTGAACTTGACTATACGGCTGAGCTCATGGACGACGACATCCGCAACAACAGCGCMTGGAATCACCGGTATTACGTAATAGCCAACACTACCGGCTTTGTCGGAYCAGTACTGGACAGTGAAATTCAGTTTACTTGCCATAAGATATCGTTGGCGCCGAACAACGAAAGCGCCTGGAATTACTTGAGAGGTATCTTAGACGGTGTGAGCGTTAACTCCAGTTCCGTTGTCAGCCAACTGTGCGACGAATTGTATAAAAGTCTYGAAACTCATCGATCGCCTCATTTGYTGGCCTTTATGATCGAAGCCATCGATGARACACTTAGTCGTCAACAGCAGACAGAACCAGATCAGCAACTGTTGCGGAAAGCACTCGATTACTGTCAAACTCTGTCCACACGGATCGACACAATCCGTACTGAATATTGGAATTACATCGCCCGTGATCTCAACCAAAGATTTGCGGCCAAATGAATGACCAAAAAAAGTCAATTATTGACCGCAAAGTTAGTTAACATGAACTRTATATTGTCATTGATTTTTTTATATTGTATATTGCATTTGAGTTTAAATTAAGTTTTTAAATGAATTTAGTAATTGAAAACATTTTTTTTAGTTTATTTTTTGAATAAGAGTCTAATACTTATTATTATTATTGTATACTTAAAAAAATAATAATTTAATATTTTSTGTATGAAATTAATTACAAAAACGATACATTTGAACATTTATTGTGTATGTGTGTCGACAAACTATATATAAGTTATATAATTGAAATTTATTTACTGTACTGAAAAAAGTCAATTGTTATGTTATTTTATAATTAGTGCGAAAAATATGATTTGTTATAATTTAAATGATTTTTTTATAAAAATAAGTAATGAATACACATATTATGAATCTTAAAGGAAATATTATTATGTAAACAATTTTCATATGATACTAGTGTTAATAATAATTGATATATTATTTTTTTGTTATGATTTTTTTTATTTAAATAATTATTTGTTTATACATATAAATGAAGACCATTTTAAGTTAAAGAAATGAAATTAAAAATATAAGATAAATATAAATAAATTGTAATAATTATAATAATAATGTATTTTCTAATAATAGTATTAATTAGTGGTGAGAATGACCTCTAAATCCTAATTCACACAAAAAAAATGAAAATGAAAACTACTTTTTCCATCCCTTGCCGTAGACATCGACCACATTGGGATCCGTGTGGACATAGAAGGGGAATGAGAACAACTTCTTGAAGACAAACACTGGTTTTGTACCCGCTTTGGCAAACGATGAACTATGCGAGGCCTGGGCTTCGTGATCTCCCTGCGGACTCAGACCGGCCGATCGGATGAACTGGTCGAGCACTTGATGTACATCAATGGTATTCGGCGATTGGCCATATGATTGGGCCGTATAGGATCCCTGCGGGTTGCCATACTCGGCGAACTGCGGGTTYTGTACCGAGTGTGCCATTGCATAGTCCGATGAAGCAGCTGAGCCGGCCATCGGGTTCTGGTAGGCAAAGTTTGGATAATTGGGCGACGGATTAGTGGCCGCAAACATTGGAYTGCTATACATTGGCATAGTATAGGCGGGATAGGCCTGCGATGGCTGAGCTATATTGTCATAGGCGTAGACCTGATTCGGTTGAACATTGCTTTGAAAACCCTGAAACACGACGTTTCAAATAATTAATTCAAACAAACATTATTATTATATATAATTAATTTGTAAATTAAATTTAGATACCGTTTCTCTCTTTGTTGACCGAAATCTGTTGTATAATCGACACGAAAACAGCGGATATTTACAGTTTTGTTGCGACGATCTCTTCTGCTTATTGATCAGTGATTGATACTATTTTTTTGTGGGTGTAATTTGATTGTTGTAATGGATAATACGGTAATTATTAATTTACGATAATATTATGGATTATAAATATTATATAATTAAAAATAAACTACACAATCATTATATAGTAAATTAAAAAAAATAATAATTGATATAATATTTACCCAATCATTCCAGTTTTGAGCCGATATTACGGCAAATATGGAAATAATATCTAATTAAATAAAATAAGTTGTTATMTACAGTATATTGAATTTTRGATAAATCTATTTAAATAATGATTATATATCATATATATATATATATAATAGAAAATTAATTTGTTTAAAGTATAATAAATAATTTATTAAATAATAGATAATAATTGATTAAATTTTTTTACAGTACTTACCGATTAAGAATATTAGTGTCAATGTTTTGATGAATTTCATGTTTAATTTATAGTTAATATTTATGGCAATATTGAAAWACAGTAATCTTATTATTATCAGTCAGAATCTACTGTTAAAATAAAATGAAATTGAATTTTTAAAAAATTAATATACAATAAAAATTGATTAGATTTAATAAAAATAGATTTTTTTAAAACTACTAACTGATTGAAAAATTTCAATTTATTTTAACAAWCATTTAGTGGATATTTTAAAAAACATACAAAAATTTTAATAAAATAAATTAATAATATAATGTTTTAAAACATTTTAGTTATTAATTTTTATTAATTCTCTTTCTTTCTGATAAATAAAATTAAATCATTTGAAAATATATCATAATATTGTTATAAATAGTTTTATAAATGCATTCAAAAACTTTTTAAGAGAAACATTAAAACATTTTAAAGTAATATTTTTAACAAAAATAAGATCTCAGAGACTAAATGGTAAACTAACACAAAACTAACTATTCATAAAATCCGGATTTTTTTTATACAACAAAAACAACAAATTACTGTAAATTACTTTTTTTTGACCGAAAAAACAACAAAAAAAGACAAACAGTTTTGATTACTCAATAAACACATAAAAGACAATTTAACTATAAAATCGATGACTTTTTTTGAAGTTAATTAGTTAACAAAAATTTTTGTTAATAATAATTTTATTTTTCTATGATTTACATACCTTTCCAATAAAGTAGTAGTAGTTTTTGTATGTATTAGTGTCTGACAGTTATGTTATATCTGAAACTGTTTTGACATAAACACTGGTGGAAAATAAAAAGGTTAGTTTCGAGAGAGAAAAAACTAATTTATTATTATAAAAAAATTGTGAATATTATATAATAGTATTACCGATAATAATAATAATAGACTTTATTAGTGGTTCACGAGGGGAAAGGTAATGAAGTGCAACGTAGACCAGGATTTTTAAATATATTATATATTAACCGTAATGTGTACTTCACTTATGCAATAATACCAGTAATAATAATATTATTTTGTATATTAGCCGTGAACTTGATTTACTGACCCATTTTCCAGGTATAGTAACAGTACAGTAGTAATAGTAGTAGTGGTGGTGATAGTAGGCAGTGGTGGCAGTAATAGAGTCCAAACATACATACATATTATACATACACCGCAAAAACTATTTAGAGACAATACTTTTATAATATAAGTGTTATAAATATTATATAATTTTTATTAAAACTGTTTGGTTGGTTGTTTTGATCATTATATACTATATATATATATATACCAGCAAACCTGTTCCGCTTCTTTATCTCTTTCTACTACCTGTGCCCATAACTTTAAATACAGAGTGAGAAAAAAAACTATTTAATATATAATTTCATAGTTTGTTTTTGGCAAACTTTTGCTGATTCAGGCCTAAACTTAGGCACAGTTTTATTATTATTATTATTATGTATTATTTATATTTGTGTGTTTAAATTAATGGTTTTTCACATTTTATTGGCAAAAATATTTCATGTAAAATTCAATAATAATGGTATTTCGCATACATTTAGTTTTTTGTATTTTTTTGTTAGTAAAAAATACATACTAATAAAAATATATATATATAATTATTATGTTATATTTTAAAGTGATTACACAAAAAATAAAACAAATGAAACATTTAAAAAAAACTATATAAATATATTAAATATTATATTTAAAAAAAAATCTTTTTGTTAGTAAATTAAAAAATTATATTAATTATATATTTATTTATATAATAGTTGATTATACTGTATATGAAATAAGTGTTTTTTTTTGTTTTCATACAAAATCTTTTTGTTTCAAATAATTATCACTTAATTATTTATTATTAAATTGTAATATTTGATAAACTACTATTATCATTATCTATTAAAAAACAAATGTACATTAAAACAATGAAATGATAATCATTTGAATCAACAAAAATTTATTTTATTTTATTACTGAATAAATATTGACCCAAATTTTTCTATACGTGAGAGGACTGTTAGGTTGTTTGGCTGCTTATATGAAAATAGCACCTCTTTATTATTATTATTATCATATATTAATATAGGGTATTTTTATAATTTAAGTTATATAATACATGTGCAAAATAAACACACATACATACACATACACACACATATAAACACACATACACACACATATACATACATACAGTACATATACACAMAGAAAATTAAAAAATATATAAAAGTCCTAAACTTAGAGTTATTAAAATTATTAATACAAATAATAAATTATGTTTTAGTCCTAACTAACTAACTACTGGTTYYGTTATTATTAKTATTATTTAATTTGTCAACAAATTGRTGCAAATTAACTACATTAACCACTTTGTGGGACATTTCTATTGGAGATGAAGACGATGATGAAGAGGATGAGGAGGACGAGTAGGTTGAGGACGAGGAGCTATTGGTTTGTTCRTTAGTCATGTCCATMATATTGGCGTCACTTCTATGCGATTGAGTTATTGTTTGACTATAAATCAAACTTTTAGGCTCATCGATGATCTCGACGTCCTGTGATGACTGTCCTTCACTGTCATCGTCGTCGTAATAATAGTAAACATCACTGTTTAGGTTATCCCCARTCAGTGGACTGGCTAACGGCTGACCACCGACAACACCGGGACTATCGTTATGAACAACATTACTTTCATAGTCATTATGATTGGCATTATCGCCAACATTAGGATTATCATTATAGTCTAATTGTTGATCTACTTTCTGGTCGTCATTGAAATCCTCATTTACRGGTTGGTARTAGTCYTGAACAGGCAGTTCCACCGGTTTAAGTCTAGTGCCAAACTTTGGTACCTCCATAGTCGGAGGTGTACTACCAGGCGGTACCATATATATCTCTGGTTTGTTGGCTATATTAATACATTTTTTTAATTTTAAAAACCAKATATTATTATCATATACAGTAATTTTTTTATATATTTATATCATTACCAGCCAATAACAATAAAAAGTTATAATGCATATCAAAATAATTTTATTATTAGTAATAATAAAATTAATTTKAAATTTTTATTTAGATTTTATAAAATTAGTTTCGATTTTTAGTAATTTATATTTAGTTTTCAAAATTAGTTAATCAATCAATCAATCAAACAAACAAATAAATAAAATTTAGTTAATTTTTTTAGTTTAGAAAATTAATTTTTATTTAGCAATATTAATTAATTTTAGTTTTTTYTCTCTCTGAATGGATTAAAACAATGATTATTTATATATATATTTTAAAAATGACAATAAACTCACAATTAATGATAAAATTAATRGTTAAAAACAAAATCAATATTATATATAAAATTTTAACAAAAAAAAGATTAACAAAATTAAGTTAAATATGATTTTTTTCTCTTAATAAATATAATACAAAACTCACGTTTGGGTTTCATTAGTGATCATTAGTTTATAAACTGAGGCTAACTTACCAATGATTGGCTTTATCTGTATAATACTATCGTTCAATGATTTAGTCGGTGGCAGTGACGACAGTGATGGTATTGATGGCAATGATGGTGACGGTGGAAATGGTGTTACTTTATAGGCCGACGGTGAGAATGGTGTGGCCAGTAATGGCTTCTCATATTTCACTCCTTTGTCATCATTATTAGATTTGGTGTCATTGTTGTTGTTATCAATGTCCAGACCATCGACCGGTTTGTATACATTTTGTATGGCATTCACMGGTGAACTGATGGTAGCGCTGCTCTGTGTTTGATAGGGCTGTTCGTCAATGTGTTGCTGAACTACAAAAGGTCTGTCCTGAGTTCTCGGCTTATATGGTGATCTGTTTTCTGATGGCCGGTAACGTGTAGGAGGGAGTGTTGGCTGTCGATCGGGTCTATTGTTAGGCATCATTGGCTGATAGCCTTTAACGTCACCAACAGGGTCTTCAAGTTGTTGATCATCGATAGAGTAACCATTATCTCGTTGGACGGGCAGATCTTCGTCAGATGTTTGTATCTGTTGCTGTTGATTGTCATCATCTTCTCGTGGATCATATGGTGGCGATGGAGGTATTCGTGACTGCGGAGGAATAATTTGCGGTCGTTGCGCTGGTAATGGTAAACCTAGATATAAATTATCAAAAAAAATAAAAAAAAGAAGATATAAGACTTAGAAATAATTATAAAAGTTGTTTCATAACGTCTACCTAAACTGTTATCTCTTGGTGGTTGTCCCGGTGATGGCGGATGTCTGGCCCCGTAATACGGTCTGATTTCAACCGTTTGTGGCGGTTGTGATGATGGTGGTGGCGGAATCTGCTGTGGCACTGGATTTCTCGGTGGAAACTGTGGTAATTGTTGTTGAATTGGAGGTCGATTTCTATCAGCTCCTGGATTTTGTGGACGTCCTTTAACGTCATCCAAACTTATCTGTTGATCATCTATTGGAGTATAATTATCGTTGTAATCGCTGACATCGGTTTGCTGTTGTTGTTGTTGTCTTTGTTGAGCATCGTTGGCTCCAAATAGAGAGCGGTCGTCACCTTTAATTGAAGGCCTATTGTCTGCGACCACTGGTTTGTAGCCACTGATGCCACTCATTGGTCCGCTTGTAATAAACACTTTTGTAGGCCGTTTGACACCAACTCTATTGTCATAGCCGTCACGTATGACCTGATTTGCATCACCGGTGCTCGCATTCACTCTATGTAGTGTCCTATTGAAGTCTCTCAGCACTGGTATAGTTGGCACACGTATTGTTTTAATATCACCACCACTACCAGCATTAGMATTGGTAGCATTGGGTCGGGTCGTGTTATTGTAACGCTGTCTGACAAAGACACCAATTTTAGTGGGCGTAGGCCTGTCCTCGAACACTGGCTTATTGATGACCCGTTGCTCTTCATCGTTGTCTTGTCTGCGCTTGAATTCATTGTTGCCATCATTTGGGTCGTCATAAAAGACACCATTAGGTCGTTGTTTGTCATAGAAATTGCTAATTGGCTTTAATTGACTTACAGGACCTTTAGATATATATATGCAAAACAATTAAAAATTATTTTTTTTGTTAACAAATTGAATGCCAATACCTTTGGTGGCCTCAATAAAACCATAAACTGGCGGTAATTTTGTTGTCACTCTAGTTGGTTGACCACCTTTTGTGGGGGGCATCTGATATTGTGGTGGGATAGCCACCGGCTGCGGAAAACCTCTATTGTCACCATAAGGTGGGCCAGGGTTTGCATTTCTAACAGGATTTGGGTTTCCGTACGGCCGCACCGTTACACCAACAAACGGTTGCGCTTCTGGTAGTCTGTCGTCTGGTTGATAACCGGGATTATTAGAGACCGGACTACTGCCAAACTTTGGCCGCTGCTGATTGTTTTGCGGTACAAACTCGTTGCGCAACACTAAATCATCTCCTTGCCTGTCATCTACCTGTGGTCTGGGCCTGGGATTAGCTCCTCGGTAGGGTATTATATTGGGTGGTAGATCAGCAAACTGAGTCCTATCGGCACCATATGATGGTGATCGTCCACCGCCTAAATCTTGACCGCTACCGATATGCGGCGAACCTCGCGTCTCATTGAATGCATATTTAGGAGTGACGGCCACCACTGGCACTGTTATATTAGTTCTTCGGTTAGCATTATATACATCTCTATTAACGTTAATGGGATTACTGGTGGGAGTCGTGATTGCCGGCTGAGGTAATCGAGACAATGAATTGGGAACAGTATTTGAATATGTGCTACGATTTGGATTAGGATTGTTAGCTATTGGTGGTGGTCTCTCTTGCGGTGACCTTGCAGTCAATCCGTCACGTCTAATACTGCCGGCACCGGGGTTTGAATATAAAGCAGCGCCAGGATTGAGACCAGCTTGAGGTGGAAGTACTGTTGGTGGCAGTGCTGGAGGTGGCGATACAATAAGTACTGGGTTTGCGTTGATCTGGACATTGGACGGATTGTCGTTAGTGGTTCCCGGTTCCGATGTCCTGATGTTGGCTCTGAAGCCATTTTCATCGGCCACGTATTCAACGTGTCGGTAGAGACCGTCGGGACCCATATAGCCGTAACTACCGGTCACTCTATCGCCGTCACTCATCTCTTTTCTATACTGTTCGTTACCTTTTCAAATGTAATTATGTTTTCAAAAAAAAAAATCAATTTAATATTAGGACATATAAAAAATATATATATATATTCCTGTTTGTGTTATCAGTTATAAAAATATTAATACAATACCGTTATAATCGCGGATTTCATATCCAAAAGCGTAGGGTTGTGTCGGCCACTGCTGTATATATATATATATATATATATATATATATTTATAAATATATGATATGATTATATAAAAAATTATATGGATAAATAAGTATAATAAGAAATTTTAATTACAAATTAGATATAATCTCTCTCTCTCTCTCTCTCTCTCTCTCTCTCTCTCTCTCTCTCTCTCTCTCTCTCTCTCTCTCTCTCWCTCWCTAGCATTATATAGACATCATTTTATAATTAATTTGTGATATAATTTTTTAAAACTAATTTTTGTTAAATAAAGAAAAATGAGAGATAATTTTTGTAAACAATTGAAGTCTTTTATTTATTTATTTTTTGATAGTCACAAAAAATATTATGTGTGTAAATATAGATATTATGACCCGTTTTTAGCTTTAATTGCAAATTGCATATATTTAAAAAAAAAWTATTAATGTCTTAATTACTTTATTAATATACATAGAATTGTTTTTTAGTATCATTTATTTGTTTAAAATATCTTATATAAAAAATATATTCAAAATTATTTAAAAATAATCAGCAAATAATTAATGTTTGGTTTAATAATATACATCAATATTTTTTATTTGTTTGTTAATTATTTGTACTAATATTTAAAGTTTAATGTTTTTGATATCATAATTTAATATTGATATACTAAAATAAATATTAATGGATAAATTATAAATGTTTATTATTAAACTTTTATTTTTTTTATAAAAATCATTACAACTTGCATATTGTAACTAACAAAAAAAATTGTACTGTAAGTTTGCTGTACTACAGTAAACTATATACTGTATTAATAATAAATATTAATTTGCATAATATCTACTGTTTTAACTTTCAAAAAAAAACATTTATTTTTAGAARYAATTTAATTGTAGAATATATTTTATAGTTAAAAATATATATTTTTAAAATGTAAAACTGTTTCATTCACTGGTTGCAACTAATTGCCAAAAATTACAGTAAAAATTATAGGTATATATCATTAAATTGGTATATTTAGCGGTTCATTAATCTTTTAATTATGTTAACAACCAATGTTAACACTTTTTGTTTTGTTATTAATTTTTTTAAATGAAATAATTTATATAATTAAAAAAATATACATAAAATATCAATAATTACCTCTTTATACCACTCATCCTGATTACGACTGGCCGGCGACGRCTGCGGTGGCGGCTGTCCAGTGGTCCGGTAGACCAGTAATCCAAAACAAATGTTTATAATAAACAATTTCATAATTTTTGTTTAACTTTTTGCACCCGTTATCACATACAGGTGCCAATCGATCACTGGATGGACAATATTTACTACTACTACTACTACTARTGAYTTAAMTTTTATACACCAAATAAACTTTGAAACTTTTGAAAGTTATTTAACTAACTTTCCATAACTTTCTCAATGGATTATCTATGACTTATAAATGAGTTTCAGTATTGACAGTCTTACTAAATATCATTTACTTTCTCCCAATTATTCCCTCTCTTTCTTCAATCGTTTAACAATTATGATGTGTTTGTATGGGGGAACTGGTCTTCCAGAAAAAGGTCTTACCATTTAATTAATGGGTTTGACTTTTTATTTGTCTGTTTTTATGTGTGTGTGTTTSTGCTGTACATTGTATGACCTATTATTGAAAACGCCTGTCCAGAGTGAAAGCACAGGTATTTTGCTAACTGTTTGTTTCAAATACATTGTTATGACTTTTGATTTTTAATTTTTTTATATTTAATCTCTCTCTCTCTCTCTCTCTCTCTCTCTCTCTCTCTCTCTCTCTCTCTCTCTCTCTCTCTYTACTATAATAATATAAAAGTAGGTCTTATAATATGTTTTAATAAAAACAAAGTGCACTAACTTATAGCTATTGTAAAGATTGTTATTAAAATTAACACTACATTATGTAATAGATTAGTCATATTTATGGTTATAATAATTATTGTTCACGTTTTTATATCATACCTGTATATTAGTGTTTATGTRTAWATACAGTATAAAATGCAATACAATTTAATTAAAAGCTATTATATTGTGTATATAATTTTCTAATTATATGATATATAATCAACTTGTTTTCTACTAWATATTAATTATAGAAAAAAGATTATAAATAGTTAAWWTTTTTGTTTTTTATTACAATATACAGTACTATGACTTTTTATCAATTGAATATTTAAATTAACTAATAAAATTAAATTAACTAAATATTATAATTTAAGTTGTTTATTATGTTAAATTAATTAATTAATTAGCAATTTAATGAAATATTTTAAATTGACAATAAAAGTTTATGCCATAAATACAGTATTTATATACTAATTTATTAATTTAATTGTATAAAATATATTCATATATGTATATATGATTGTATGGTAAATGATAATAAAATTGAATACAATTCAAATTTGCTGTGATTTTGAATACAAATTGCATTATTAAAATCTGTATTTTATATATAAAATTTTGAATGACATTATGGTTTCGATACAATAAACAGGTCGTCCTTTAAATCAGATAATAATGAAAAAAACTAATATTTCATAATTTTAATATAATATCATTCATTTGCAACAATTGTTTTTAATTATAATATTATTCAAACAATTTGATGATAATTATTTGAAGATATTATGCTAGTATTGAAATCACATAAACAATTATTTATATTAAAATTACATTTTGTATTTTGTTTGGCTATTGATATGCAAATTGTGTGACCGCAAGATAACTGGTCTAACCATTAATGAGGTATACTTTAAATGAGATTTTAGTTTAGCATTCAATAGAAAGTAATATTTGTTTGTTTTTTTTTGTTATATATTATGGACTAACAATTGATGTGAATTCAGAMTAAATTAAAACAATATCCAAAAATGTTATATAATATAATGACTTTATTATAGAAAATAATTTTTTATTATATTATTATTATTATTATTATTTATTCTTTATGGATATTTAGCAATTTGAATATAATTTGTATGATATTATGCTCTCAATAAGTATATTGAAAGTAAAACTGCATTTATTTTTTTGGAAATACATATCAATCATTAGCATAATATTCACACACAATATAAAAAAATAAAAAAAWTAAAAAAAATAATGGTTTGTTTGATCGGATAATTCATAGGTATTTCCGACACATTTTTATCTTAAAAAGAGAGTAATGAATGTCTCAATAAATTAGAAAATTTAWTCACAATTYACTTTCAAATAAATTTKTTTTTTAGTATTCTCTAAGTATATATCATATAATAAGAAATATATTAAATAAAAAAATAATTTTCTATGAATACTAAAACAATCGATTTKTTAAAAGCAAAAAATAYAAAAAATAAATAAATTGTTAGATTATAAAAAGTTAACTCCTATATATAAATTATATCAATGTCATAAATCTTAATATACATAMTAATAATTTACTTTATTTTTTTATATATKRGTATATAATGTGTTTGTGATTAATTAATTGGAGACAAATAATGAGTTTGAGTCATAATAAATAAAAATATCATAATATATATAACAAAAACAAAAAAATAACWAATGTTTTTTCAAAAACAAATGATTACTTTTGTTTATAAAAAATAAWATTAAATGTAAAATAATAGACTATTATTATTATAAAATTTGTTTTCATAACAACACAATTGCCACCAAAATTATGTCAAATACCTCTCCTCTAGTAATTTATTATACATTTATAAMAAATTTCTAATATTTACTATTATTTAACAAATTATTWAATTGTTTGGGAGAAAAAAATCGGTGCAAATATGAGGGCGTTAATCATTTTATTTACTATCAAAAAAAATTTTAAATAAAAAAATATGATACAAATATTGATAGTTTAGTAATTTTCTTTTACAAATAATTATMGTTAATTTTATTTAAAAGAAAATTATAAATTATTTCTATAAATAATCAAAAACCATTCATACAATCATCATTTAAAATGTGATTTATATATTTATATTTTTTTCAAACAAATTTATTATTTTAATTGTATACTTACATAAATTTTATATAATTTATTATCYTATTTCTAGTTGTTTTTAGTTATTTATTGTTTAACTACAAATTGACTTTCAATTTTAGCAATAATAGAAAATATTTTAAATTATTGAAACAAATAAACACTTTTTTTAATTGTTATCTATATTTATAGACAAATATATATCCATTGATGTATATAAATTTCAACATATAAAATGCATATTATAATTATTATCATAAAACAATTTATTATTACATTTGAATACTAWWTAATTTTAGAGGTATTGACTTTTGAAGATTGTTTTYTTAAAATATATAATTTTAAATATTTTAAAATAGCATTTAATTATAAATTATTTTAAATACAAAGCGCATATATATAATTTATATATATATTTAACAGTAAAAATATATTATTGAATATTATTATAAAATAATTATCTCTAAACACTGTGAAATTGTCACCAATTTTAACAACAAAAATAATWATGTAATTTTCAAATTATGCTCACATTTCACATATCAATAAGCATTGAATTTATAGATATTTTGTTTTGAAAAATTATATCAWATGTTTTAGTAATAAAAAATTAAACGAAAAAAATATAAACTTTAATAAATWTAKGAATAAAGTAAAACATATTAATTTAWTAATTTWAYATTTTATTTTATTAATAACACATCCTTATTGCTTAATAATTATTATACATTATATTGATATATATTGTTTAAATTGATATATATATATATATTTTAAATTAGATCAAAATTWTATATTTGTATATCTAATTTGTCTATTTTATCTCAATATTGATATGCAATACTTGGTACAAACTATTGTTAAAATTTCAGAGCAATAAAAAAATATAATTATAGCAATTAATTACAGCAAAAAAAMAGTTATTCATTGCACTGTATAAAATATTTTAACTAACTTTTTTTAAAAAAATATACATAAAATTGTTTGGCCAGATAAAAAAACTAAAAAAATCAATTACACAYAACATTTAAATAGCGTACGGTATAATAAAACGTCTGGGTTGGGAACCGGCTGCCCGCAGCTTATGTACTCTAACATTACCCATACGGTGCTGTATCTTCTGATGGTTGACACTYTCTTGGCCGCCATATTTGTAATCCTGTCCTCCATCGTGACCGCCACCGTTGCCGCCCTGTTCGGCGCCTCCGCCTCCATGTTTATTATAGTAGGGTACGATTACTGGCTGGGCATCAAATTTGACATCACCCGGRTCTTTCGGTGCGGTTCCCGGTTCGTTGGTTTTGATTTTGGCCCGGAAACCGTTTTTGTCGGCCACGTACTCTACTTCACGCATAATGCCGTCCTTATCCTTGAATCCATAGCTGCCCATAACGTTTGATGGGTTYTGGCTTTTTTCGTGTCGCCATTGTTTGTTTCCGTGTCCATCTGGTATATGGGGGGGGKTAACAATGTTATCATATACACCTACACCTCCCAAATAACTTCTACTAATGCTTACCCTCAATGTCGTACCCAAAGCCGTACGGCTGGAACGGGTATTTCTCATCCTTTATTAATTAATTGATTGATTATAAGTCCAAAAATATGATATAGTTATATATATGGTATGGCATAAAATATTACGTTTAATAATATTAWTTATCACTTACATCCTTATTGCCTAAATCATTATAACCACCACCACCGCCTCCCTGACCACCATATTGGCCATCCTGTTGTCCGCCGACAGTACACTTGACAGCACTGAAAATTGCCACCAGTGACAGCACCGGTAGATATTTCTATGAAWTATAATTATGATAAAATAGAGTAAACAATTTTGTCCATTAAGATTCACAACAATCAAATTTCAACAAATTTTACTAATTTTTTTCGTATGAAAACTCTTACCTCACATGAAAACAACATTTTTTTGTGAAAAAACTTTAGCACTTTTTTCTAAGTTTCTGATTATTAATGATTAACTTTCATATACMATATGAATACCTATTGGAAAAAACAATTGCTTTTTATAGTCAAATCTTGTCAACCATTTCAGGACAATCGCACTGAAAGTAAAACTTTTTTTTAGGCAAAACCTCTTATTTTTTGAATACTAATAATTTATTTTTTTAACACTAATATTGATATCATTTAAAATATATATATTTATGGGTCGCTTATAATATTTTTTGGTGCATTCATTAGTGATATATATACAGTAGTTTATACAGTTATAGGCTATTAGTCGGCACATGTAGTTTTCTAGCGATAAGCGATATTATTAGTATTATTTTAAAAAATAATATAATATATACTGTATATAATGTTTGTTGTGAAAGTTGTTATCATAAATATGATTTCTATTAATAAACTATTGTTACGACAAGTGATAATAATAATAATAATGAAAAAAATGTATATTAATTAGCAAAAAAAATTGGAGAAAACATATATAGATAATAGACATGTAATGTCTGAACCAAATCGATAATAATAATAATTATAACAAACTTTTGAGGTATCGTTTTAGTCTATAATATGATTAAAATCTAAATATATATATATTTGTTAATATAATAGCTATAAATAATATTTTAAATTTAAAAATTGATTTTTCTTATTGAATAATTGAACCACAAATACAAGAAACTAAATGTAAAATAATTTTCATTAGTTTTTTTTTAAAAAATAATAATAATTATAATAATAAACTAATTCTAAAGTTAGCAAACTTTCACTGAATTTTTATTATAAATAAATATATTTTCTACAAAATTAAATAAACAAATTGTTTTACTAGTAATTTGTTTGTTTATAGTAAAWTATATTTATTTTAAATAATATATTACTTTATTTTGTGCTAATTTTTCTTAATTAATAATTTAATAATAAATKTAATATTTTTTTCCAAAACAATATAAKAGTAATTTTATCATATTATAATTTAATTGTATTATAAATTATAATACAATATTCTTTAATATTTAAAAAATAAWTAAAATGTTTATTAAATTTATATATAATCTTAAAATTTGAAAAAATAGTAGTTTTATTAAAATTACAAAATTATTTTATAAATTTAAATAATTTACATTAATTTATTAACAGTATTAACTAATTAAAAAAATTAATAWATATAATGAAAAATAAAAATTATTATTGATTTGTTTTTTATAAATATATTTWTGATTTATCTATKTAATTGCAATATTACTTTAGTCTATTTTTTAATCTAATAATTTGAATTAAAAATATCCATGTTATAGACATTATAGTTATAWAATAGTAATTTAAATTAAAAAAAATAATTATTTAATATTACTCTTTATGTATATTTTTTATAACTAATCATTTTTATTTGTACTAAAAAAAATATGTTCAATAAATTTTATKATTTAAACAAACATTTATTTAAAAATAAAATAAAATTTAAGTCATTATTTACKMATCAAATAAATWATTATTATTTAGGAAAAAATGCATTTCATTATCACATAATAAATAAACTGTAAATAAATTTTTTAATTTTATTAACGTATTTATTATATTGTAATTATTTATATGTAAATACAGTTTATTGCTATTAATAAACAGTATATTGAAATTTCCAATACAACACTACTATAATTAGCACAATAATAATGCATTATAAAATTTATGCCAACGATTGYATTGCTTTTTAAGGTAATAGTGTTGTATTAAATTTATTATTACATTCACACACATAAYTACAGTAYATATTCGTATGAAATAACATATGATTTCAATGAAATGAAACAAACAATAAATTGATAGCAATTTAGTACTTAAGTGTTAACAACAAACACGTGTTTAATAACAAATAAAAACATTTAGTTTTTTATAATTATTTGGTGACCATTTCGGGTGATATAATAATAATCGCCACCAATATTGGTAACCASTTTGTTGTGTACATCAAAATCACTGTCAGCTGATCCCTGAAGTTTGTGATATGAGTTCGACGACGATTACAACTACAGCCGTGAAGACAAACGATACAAAAACGTCGATAACTAATACATCCGCAGATCACCGGCAAAGACATTACGGTAGTYCACAGTTTGCCGATAGTGGTGGCGGCGGTGGTRGYGGTAGYGGTCATCGACATCACGATAAACCAKTGATGTCGTCGTCCTCTTCTTCATCCACGACGACTACAGAGCCGGTTAAGAGGATGACCAGAGTCTACAGCAATAGTAATCGCAGTCAAGACTCGAGAGATCACCGGTCAAGACATGACAGCAATAGTAATCGCAGTCAAGACTCAAGAGATCACCGGTCAAGACATGACAGCAATAGCTATAACAACAATAATAATGATAATAACTTCATCAGTGATCGATATAGACATCATAATCATCAAAATTATCACCGAAACAGACACTATGACGACACACCRCGATATTCATCACAACAACAGCACAGGTAATTARCAATTGATTTGAGTGATGATCGGGAGGTAATGTCTTTGATTTTATTTTGTTTTATATCTCTCATCCAAACAGATCACATTATAATTACAACAATCGACGATACGATAATAATAATAGACATTTTGTCAGAAGTGGTGAYAATAATAGTAATAAAAATGTCAACAATTATACAGAAGACAGGCCACACCATTACAAACAAAGACATTTTGAAAATAGTGATAGACATAGACGTTATGGTGATAATAATGATTATGATGATCATCATCACCATCACAGATACCATCATAAATCAGATAAGACATCAGTGACTACTACCGCTACTAATACGAAACAACAATTAGATAATAGTCACTGTCAGCCAAGTGTATCGACTATAGGTAATGATAGACATAGTGATACACATGAAGAAGATGATGTGTCAACAGTTGATGCAAATGATAACAATTTGCAGCAAACATTAGATGAAATTACAGCACTGAAAAGCATATTCGATGATACAATCCTTACCATTGATGAACAGCAATTGAAAGGCCGATTTTTGGCCGAAGTTGTGATCAGTGATGAGATGACTGTGTTTTATAGTAGCAGTCAATCTCGACATAAAAGTGCCCAAAAATTGTCCGAAGAATTTCGAGTTAAACATTTGCCACCAATTGAGCTGTACTTTGAATTACCGAAGACATATCCATCACAAACTAATCCACGATTTTTGATATCATGTAAATGGCTTTTATTGAATCAATTAGGTATAAATCTTTATTACTTTGTTTATTAATGCCGGTAATTAATTAATTACCGTAATTTGTTAATTAGTTATCTAATTTTTTGTCCCTTTAAAAAAATCAGAATCAATATGTGATAAATTAGAGAGAATATGGAAAGACATGAAAATGGAAGTACTCTTTACGTGGTTTTCATTCTTGCAAAACGATTTAATGGATTACTTGAATATTAGAAATATGTTAGATATCACACCATTGTTAGCAAAGCCTGTATGGGTTAACAATAGGACCGCCCAATCGAGTGATGGAAACATTCAAAGTGAATCACATGTCATGAACTTGAAACCGGCCATTGAAAGGGGTGGCAGACATCATGACCGTAGGGCTGCTTGTGATCGGATTGGCGTACAATTGATCACTCATTTGCGGGCATACAATGAATACAAATGTAGTGAAGTCTTCAATAAAAGTTACCATTTGTGTAACATATGTTTTTCGTCGCATTCGGGCCAAGACTGTGTAGTGTTTCCCTGTAAACACATCAACTGTCGAAACTGTATTCGCGGCTACTTTTCCACTCTTGTCAAAGAGGGAACCGTTAATTTGCTGAAATGTCCCGAAACCGATTGCCAAACAACAGCTCCGCCGCAACTGGTGCGCCAATTGGTCAGCAAAGAGCTATTCGAACGGTACGACCAGCTCATGTTGGACACCATTGTGTCGAGTATGCAGGACGCCCACTACTGTCCGCGTAAGATATGCGGCGCACTGGTAATCGGCGATACCGACTCATCGCTGGCACACTGTACCACTTGTGGCCATGCATTCTGCAAGAACTGTAAGTTTACCTATCATGGCGTCGATCCGTGCAATATCTTCAGGGATGCCGAACAGCGTAAGATTATTGTTGCCAAATATACTGAAGCCGACGGTAAGTGTTTTGGAGACAATTAATTTGTGATTACAATTTTGAGTATTATTTTTGTATAATATGTTTATTTAATGATTAATAGACGCCGAAAAATCCGAATTAGAGAAACTGTACGGCAAAAAACAATTGGCAGAAGCTATCGAACAGGCGGCCACCGACAAGTGGATGGAGGATATGGCCAAACGGTGTCCACATTGTAAGGCTACCATCGAGAAGAGCGACGGCTGCAATAAGATGTCGTGTTGGCGATGCAATACATACTTTTGTTGGCTATGTCTCGAGACACTACCCGTCACCCAACCCTACAGTCACTTTAGTAATCCGGCCTCCAAGTGCTATAACCAACTGTTCCTCGGAGTCAATATGGATATTGACGATATGTTTGATGATTTTTTCATTTGAGATATGAGTTTTGATTGATTTTCTGTTAGTTTGTTAGTTTTTTTTGATAATTTATTTTACAACCCTGTATTTTGCTATTTTTTAAATTGAAATATTTACTCAAAATTTTAGTGTTGTTTATGTGTTAGACATATATTTATTTTAAAAAAATTATTATAATTATTAATAATATTTACAATAATTCTTTTTTCTAAATATCAAATAAAAAAAAGATTTTTAAAGATGCAATTTTCTAATAATTAAAAATCATTGAATTATTTTAATGAATTATTCAATTTTTTATACATTCATTTTTTGGTAATTACTGTATTTGTTTATATTAAATATTTAAAAATATTTAAATTAAATACTGTATAAACTGTAGTATACATTCTGTATAAATATGAAATGATTATATAAATAAAATTGAAAGTAATTATTAGTGTTGAAAATTGTTGCATAAATTAAATTAATTACCGGTACTATTATTCTACATTTATAAACAATATATACTGTATATAAGTTTATATAAAGTATATAAACTTATATAATAAAAATACAATGAGACTAAACATTTTAAGTTATTGATCTAATAAAATAATGCCATAACTTTTAATTAATGGCTCATTAATGATAAGCAAACATTAGGTCTTAATATATCTACCAAACTGTAATGTATAGCTATATTGTATAGTATATATACTTTATTTCTGTATATAAGCCATCAAAAAAGTTATATAATAAAGAGAGAGAGAGAGACCACACAATGAGATGTGAATAAATTAATAATAAAAATAATTATCATATGATAAATCCTAGCCTTGCATTATTATGTATATCACAATAACTTCTAATTTTTAGTTTAATTATATACAATATTATAAATATCTATTTGACTTTTTTTTAGTATTAATATTTATCATTTCAGTAGTATATGTTATATATAATATACTGTATTAATATATTTACATTATATTATAATTTAACAATTGGGTTGAGATGTTATATTTTAAACAAAGATAAAAAACATTCAATTTTTTATTCAACAACAACAAAAAAATTAGCATTTATTTTATAATTATGTATAATAATAATAATAGTAAATTATCTATAGATGACATAAAAATAAACATATCAAACACACACACAAAAACAAACAAATGTTTGAATGAATGACAATAATTATATTCTAATATATAATACATTTTATTGGGTGGTCTCTATAAAACTATTGTATTGTACTGTATATACAGTATAATTATCTTATAATTTAAATTTATTATTTGAACAAAAATATTTCAAAATCAATGTCTTTATAGAATATGAAAAAATAATATTATTTTTTTTATAAACTTTTTTGTGTGTCATTTATAATAATTTTTATTTGTAGAAATGAAATTGAATGTCAGATAGTCATCATAACTAAAAAAAATTTATAAAAAAAATTAATTTCTTAACATTTATACATTAAATAAGTTATTATTATTATTATTGAAAATTATAATCAATTTTGAATAGTATTTAGACAGAGACGAGATGTTTGTATATACAGTATATAAAAGTTATATATTTTTATATATTCATCAAACATATATCGCTGTGTAGGTCTTTCCTGTGTTTTTAGGGGCTTTCAAGATATAGTTAAGTGTTGTTGACATGAAATCATCTATTGGAGAGTACATACACATCAACACATGAGTATATATATATATATATACATTGAAGTCCCTTCCCTTACCATCCCTTTCCCGTTCATTGCATACAATAAAGTATATCAAGACTTTTGGTAAACATTTCGTTTGAGTATATATTTTGTGTTTGAAAACTCTTGGCATAAAACACTCAATTATATGTTCATCTTTTAATGCATGTGTTATAAAGTAATCAGCTTTTCATATAAAAAAAATCTATAATAAGTGAAAGAGAGAGAGGAGATGGCACACCCTTTTATACCGGTGCATATACTCTATATATACATGTATATCAATATTATATATATATGAACTACAAATTCCTCGACACATATCTATAAAACTGGTGAAAAAGGAGATCAGCGGGACTTACATACAATTAGGTGCCGACGCCCTTAAAGACAAACTTCACTTACTTCCCTTATGTATTGATTGTATGGGTTAAGGGCCCGGGTTTAGACAATATGGCAATTATTAAGGCATAGGAAATCAATTTCATGCATATATACACATGCGGGTATGTTGAGTGGAGGAGGGGAGGGGGTAAAAGAGCTGACCAAATAAATTATACAAATTGAATAACTCTATTATATTTGTAAAATACAAATATTTGAGGATCAATGACATGATTTTTATTGGTCACTGAGGATCGGGTGTTATTATTTTGATTGTATACCCAATTTACAGCACATATATTCACACACACAAACACAATACACGCGTGAGTTGTGGTAATTGCTATTAAATTTTTTTAAAAATATAACATACAGTATATAATGAATTACTAGTAAATCTGGCAAATTTTATATTATATAACATCGTATAAGTATAGCTATTATGAAATTTACACCCAACAAATTGGACAATATTATATACAGTATAATCACTACATATCATAACTTTTATTACATAGATTATAATCACTAATTTTATTTTAGTATTTAGTATTTAATCAAAACACACAAAACATTATATGACACGTTAGGATATATAATACATAAAGAGAGAGAGAAAGAGAGAGAGAGAGAGARAGAGAGAGAGAGAGAGAGAGAGAGAGAGAGAGAGAGAGAGAGAGAGAGAGAGAGAGAGAGAGAGATTTACAATACCACACCTGAAATATTTTGTAAAATAAAACATCTTTTATGAAAATTAAGATTTTGATCAAAAAAATCAGATATTTTTGCGATTTTAAAATAAAATATAAACATAAGACTAGATTTCCTTTACCCGGCAATGGTATGGATGTGTGTATATGTCGGCCACCAGTACTCTCGGGCGTAGTCATCGTAAGGACTGATATTTTTTTAGGTCAATAGTCGCTGAATATATTAATATAATAGACATTTCATTGATAGATAATGCCATACTTTTATAACTGTTTTCATTTATTCATTAATACATTCATTTAGTTAATATATTATCTATCTATGGAGAGATTTTTAGATATTTTTGTTGTTTAACAAATCTAAATATATTTTTCCCAGAAAAAAAAACATTTATAGACATACAGTTTACACAATGTATGAAATATTTGTTTAAATATATTTTTTTGACTAAAAGTTTTGCAAAATCTTTTATATTGTATATGAAATCAATTGGAAAGGCGTGTGAATTACAATATAAAAAAATTTGTATTCAATGTGTGATTTGTTTGGTATTATTATTATTATTATTTGATGTGTCGGTTGTCTATGTAAGGGATGGCTTGTCTTTTATGGTATAGTTGTTTCTGACTTTTTTTGCTATTGATTTACTAGTACTATATATATATCAAGTATATTAAATTTTACATAATAATATTTGAATTATGACAAACACATACACACATACACACATACACACATACACACATACACACATACACACATACACACATACACACATACACACATACACACATACAAACATACACACATACACACATACACACATACACACATACACACATACACACATACACACATACACACATACACACATACACACATACACACATACACACATACACACATACACACATACACACATACACACATACACACATACACACATACACACATACACACATACACACATACACACATACACACATACACACATACACACATACACACATACACACATACACACATACACACATACACACATACACACATACACACATACACACATACACACATACACACATACACACATACACACATACACACATACACACTACACACATACACACATACACACATACACACATACACACATACACACATACACACATACACACATACACACATACACACATACACACATACACACATACACACATACACACATACACACATACACACATACACACATACACACATACACACATACACACATACACACATACACACATACACACATACACACATACACACATACACACATACACACATACACACATACACACATACACACATACACACATACACACATACACACATACACACATACACACATACACACATACACACATACACACATACACACATACACACATACACACATACACACATACACACATACACACATACACACATACACACATACACACATACACACATACACACATACACACATACACACATACACACATACACACATACACACATACACACATACACACATACACACATACACACATACACACATACACACATACACACATACACACATACACACATACACACATACACACATACACACATACACACATACACACATACACACATACACACATACACACATACATACACACATACACACATACACACATACACACATACACACATACACACATACACACATACACACATACACACATACACACATACACACATACACACATACATACACACATACACACATAAACTAAATTTAATACTTATATTTCATGAACACATTCATATAAATTTACAACAATATGTACTGTTGTTTATTATATACACTAAACATAAAATTTATATATATTTTTATGATTAATAATATTGAATAAAAAAATAAAGAGCTGACAATAACTTTATATTATATATCATATACTGTATGAGGAATTATATTTCATTGGGAAAGGCATACGCAATAGTAAAGGCTTCAGGGGTTGGGCACTGGTTTATCGCTTACCCCAGAGTCACGATAATCATGAAACTATTCGCTTGGTTTTCATATATATATGTATATACAGCTCATACCTAATAGTATCTACCAGACAGTGGTTTTGATTGTGTGCATCATAATAGTTGTCCACTATTTTTTAATAAATAATAACTCGAGGTCTTAAAAAAATTTATTGAATCAGTTTTTTCCACTAAATCTGTTTTGATTATATAACAGTGCCCATTCACCTACCAGTGCTGAACATTTGTTGTATACAGTATATGGATTATACAGTATATACCGATGTGTTTGTGTATATATATATATATATTATTATTATTATTGGGGAACTTCTGGTGGTGTAAACTTCACGTTTTGAAGTCAATTTAGCAAACGATATCTCCTATCGAGAAAAAAAGAGAGAGAAAGAGACGATAGTTTTTGAGATACATGTGCTTCAGTGCGCATCAGAGTCAACACTGGGAGAGATAGGCGACTAGTATACTGTATTATACCTACCAGTTCTATCGCTTCTCTATTGCATACTAAAGTATATTGCCTTTCTCTCTATCTCCCAGTTCTCTCTCACCAAAACAGATCCCCTACTAAACAGAGTACACAAACAGAGCTCTGTCACACTCCCGGAGCGGGTCCTACCGTTTAGTTCATTGTATATATTTTCTTTGACGTTTTCAAATGAGAGAAAAGGGGGGCTTTTAAAGCTCTTGTGTGTTGATGTAAATCTGAGCCACAGTTAGTTAGTGAATGAATGGATGGATGGATGGCACACACCTTCAGAAAGAGAGAGAGAGAGAGAGAACCGACGACACCACGTATTTTAACAATGAATATATGAATTGAATATATTTTTATTTTGTGAATATTTATATGTATTCATTCAGCTCAGCCCTAAAAAATAAGGTCTAAATAAGTCTTCTCCCGCTTCTCTCTGCATTCTACTTACTCTTCAAAGTTATTTAACATTTGTAAGTTTCAACTATACTTTTACAACAAATAACAAAAAGTTTTTTTTTATTTCTTTCACTTCTGAAAAATCTGGTCCACACTTACATCGACAGTATGTATGAGCACCGATACCCACTTTACTCAGTCGTTGGTAATCATAGTATTTATTAACTTCCCAGTGCTCTAAACTATTACATTATATGTATATATATTGAATATATATGTGCGTATGTTCAAACCTCGTGTGAGCCCTCCTGAAAAATAATAATAATAATGGGTTCCCATAGCCATCGACTCCATCATCATCACTACCACTACTACTGGGCCCTAATTTTCCGATATTTACTTTTAACGACAATTATATTGATTATTGATTGCCGTATTACACAACAATCGGTGTCAAACAATTCCGGTGCTGACAATAATAGTGTTACCAATAGTGGTGGTGACGGTAGTAGTAGTAGTAGTAATGGTAGTAGTGTCCGGTGGACTACAAAGTGTCCCTGTCGTCAGTGCGATACTGATGGCCATAATAGGACACGTGTTATATGCGATGAGGGCGACCGTCAAGAGATACCCACCCGTCAAATGGATAAGCGGGCAAATGTATGACACATTTTTTTTATTACTGTATTGATGTTATAATATGTATCATATATTAGTATAATTTTTTTATCAATATTTTTTTGTTTGTTTGACAAGACATCTAATTTACATATCTATGATTTATGAGTATATATATAGAAAATATTTGTCACATTTTATGGGTGATATACAATATTATGAATATTCAATATATGGAAATATACTGTATTTCTAATATAGAGTATATATATATAATATTTTTTCAATATATTTTTTTGTTATATGAATAACGGAATGTAATAAATTTTTTTTGTTAGATTTGCTTTTTTCGGTACTATTAATATTAATATAATATTTGATATAATGCATTAATACAATATAATATTAAGATTCAAAAAATAATCTTGTAATCTAAAGTTTAAAAATATATTTTTTTTTGTAACAGAAAACAAATTAATTAAATTAATCTTGATTTTAGATTTAAAAATAGTTAACTTCTAAATAAAAATCTGTATTTTAATTGTTTGGTGTTATAGTAATACATGAATTTTAATTAAATCATATAAATATAAGAGTGTATATATTGATAATAAAAAATTATTATAATAGTTTCAGTTTAGATAAATTTATTTAATGATGATTATTATTATTTAAGTTATATATATATCTTATAAAGTATATACTTACAGCAACTAATATTACAGTATTAATGTGATAAAAATTTAAATTAATATACAATTTAAAATACAATGCCATATAAATTATATAAAAAAATTTATTATTATTATTTAGGTTTATTATTAGGTTTATCGCAAGTTTCTGTACATATATATATGTGGTGTTCACTATTTAACACATAATTAGATAACAAAAAATGCTATAATTTTTGTTTTAATAACTCTTTATTATAACTCTTGATGTGTAATAAAACTTTGTTTGAAAACAACAATCACTTAATTGATTGCGTGAATGCTATGAATGAACTCATTTCATGAAATCAATTAATTGATTCAGACATTTAATAATGAAATAAATATACATTAAATCTATTATATATATATATATATATATATATATATATATATTTATATGATATTATATATATTTCATAAATTTATACGTGTGTACAACTAAAAAATGGAGAGGAGGGGAGGGCTAACCCATTACCCCTTAAGTCACGATAAACCTTGAATTAAATCACACTATCGTATAGCTTCTGGATGTATTAGTACAGTATATCTTATGTATGATTTTGTATATAAAAATATTTAATTTATTGAACACAAATTTAGTAATAATAGTAAAGTAAAATCGTATAAATATTGGCCAAACATATGGTGTTAAAGTCTATAACCATTTGGTCTCAAAAATTTTTAAAAATATGTTTTCAATGTGTGTTTGTGTGAAAAATTGGATTAATTGATAAATTTTTATTTAATATAGAGATAAAACTATAGATTACTATAAGATATTTTAAATACGAAAAATATAATTTTAGGTTATTAAATAAATCATTGATCATATAAATGTTTAATTTCAAAAAATATTGATTTAAAAAAATAAAATTGTTAATAATAATATTAAAGTTGTCTATTTTATTCACAATAAATATAAATAAGTAAAAATTTACATTTATCATAATAATAAACATAATTATAATTAGATTATGAGTTATGCTTTTTTACTAATCATTATCAATGGTGTGAACCAACAATAATCAAGTGTTTTGCCGACTGATTATTTTCAGAGATAATAACAAATATTTTACCTATAAATTACATTTTAATCAACATTAATGTCACTATTAATATATGTAACTTCAATATATCCCATGAGATAATATTAAAGAGAAATTGACTGATAGCTTATATACTATATATATATATAGTATTTAATATACTGTATATATTTATGTGTGCTTTTTTAGGCATTACCACTAATTAATTTTAACTAAACATTTATTTTGTTGTTGTTGATAAAAAATGTTTTAATCAAATTAAACTTTCACAACACACACACACACACAACATGTTTGATAATTATTTTGAAGTTCATAAACATTTTAATGACTAACTCTCGACATAAGAAAAAAACATAAATTTGTATAAATTGATTATTTAAAAAAAAATAAAAATATGTTTTATGGTGTTATTGTGATAATTATGATGACCACAAAAAATTATCATCAAAAATAGCATAACTTTATACATGTATTTGAATTAATATTTGCGGTTAATATAGTCTCTAATTATGTTCAATTTGATACATATAATACATTGAAAAATTAAAATAAATTAGAATAAATTAATTTTTATTAGCTTTATATAGCAAAATGGGATATTTTTATATAAAAAATAGCAACAAATTAATTATTAATGATATAATGTTATTATACAATATATAATATTAGAAAAATATTTATTTGAAAATATAAGTTAATAACAGTCCAAAAAATATTTTACGAGTGTTTTATATCTATTATCACTTTAAAGAGAGAGAGAAAAAAAATTCAATCATATATAATATTAATAAACAATATATATATATATAAATGAGTTAAAGTTATGACAGAGAGTGAAAAAAATAAATCAATTTTCAACACTAATCTCAATAGTATATCAATTTATTTTTGTAGTATAAGAGGGGTCTCACGGTATCAAACAAGTGAATACTATATAAACTAATATTCAAAAATATATTATTTCATACAAAACAGATTTGTAAAGTTGATTATTTGATTTATTAAAATAAAATTATATAAATTTATATATACAGTATATTGTATATATATATATATAGAAAAATAAAAACAATTTTTCAATCGTTTGAGGCGATAAATGATATCAAATACTGTATATTTTGTATAGTAAAATGTTATAACATTTTATTATATATTTAGAAATATTTTATTTATTTTTAATTAAAAAACTAAAACTTTTTTAAAGTCAATGTTTTTTCATAAATAATATTTATAGTATATTATTTAACTCTATTAAGTAATACTACACCTATCATAGCCTAAAGTTTTTAAAAGTCTCTCAATAGTATACATGTTATACAATAGTCTGAATATATATATATCAATACATTGATTGCTAACATACCCATCAATTATCATATATCAATAGATGATTACAAATTTTTTGATATTATGTTAAGTTATTATCAAAAATATAATAATAATAATAATAATAATAATAATAATAATAATAATAATAATAATAATAATAATAATAATAATAATAATAATAATAATAATAATAATAATAATAATAATAATAATAATAATAATAATAATAATAATAATAATAATAATAATAATAATGACAAGGTCTTATATGATTACATGTTATGTTATGTTGTGTGTGTGTATGTTGTCTAACAATTTAATCTATATTAATAAATTGTATTATATACAGACTGTATAATACAGTACATGTGTGCATAATTTATTATATATATATGAATGTAATGGAAAAAAAATTATTTTCTTGTTTTTATAAATTATTATCTATTGAGAAAAAAATAATTATTAAAATAGATATACATTTTTGTGTTTTCCTATTCAAACACATAGGAGAGAGAGAAAATAAGGAACTGATTAATGATATGATATAATTTATAGATATTATATATATATATTATTTGATGTGTATCTAATATTGACTGTCAATATAAAGTGAGAAATAGTATTTTTAGTAGATTTTTTTTAGTGGAGTGTAAAATGATGTTTAAAATTTTCATTTAACCAAAAAATGCTATTAGCGTTAAGTCTTAGTCTATTTAGTTATTATCAATAATTTTTTTAAACAAACTATAAATGTGTTCATAACTGGGATTAACAAAAATATACAAATTTTCTCAAATTGACATAATGATATATAGTTGGCTATCACACACATACACATACATATACAGTACATATCAATATATACTGTACTTAATATAGTTTAACTTAAATGCAAACATAATTTGCAAATACACTATTAACAAAAATATATATATAATATTTTCTTATTTTTTATTAATAAAACTTTTTAAACAACTATTAATTTATCAAATATATAATTCATTACATATGTCTATCCTTTTTCCTATCTCTCTCTCTCTCTCTTTGTTTAGATATTAATCTTTACGGCACCGCCTGAACATCAAAATCAGGTAACAATTGGTAGGATATTCCTCGAGTTTCAATCGCTACAAGAAATATACATTACCTATAGTAATGTACCAGCAATTGGTGACTCTAGCTTTTGGCCGGGCCGTCAGGTACAGCTACTGGACCTTAGTTTCAACAATATTACTATACTCAGAGATCACGACTTCAAAGGATTGACTAATTTAGTGGCACTTAATCTCAACGATAATAGTCTTGAAGGTATACAAACACACAATTAAAATAACTAAAAAAACAAATTAAATAATTATCATAAAACAAAATTATTATTATTAATAGGAAATAAATTGTCTAATCAAGTGATAGTGCAAAATAATAAATAAATAACTTATATATATAAATTTATATACAGTAATTATTGTTATAAATTTAAGTACCATCATTCAATTTAATTAGTTTCGAGATTAACCAATAATAATTATTTATAAGTAACAAAAATAATAACGCAATAATAACAACATTATAATATTAACAATAATTGTTTAGGTAATTGTATTAATACTTGCATGAATAATATTATATATATATATATAAATTTATATATAATCAATTTTGACAGTAACGGTTGAGCTCATTGACATACCTCAGCTCTCATACATATACATACATACAGTACACACACACACACACACACACACACACATACCCATACCTGCATACTTTGATAATTACCGATAGATTTATGGTGATTATAGAAATAATTGATTGATTGTCTTATTATTTATTTTATTTATTTATTTTTTTGGTTCCCATAATCAGCTGCGCCATCGGCACCGTTCCGTTTCCTAACAAATCTCACGCGACTGAGTCTGGCCCGCAATCGACTGACCAAACTGGTGCCGCGACTCTTCTACCGATTGGACAAACTAGAGTTCCTCGACCTGTCCGGCAATCCGCTTATGGACATTGAACCGGAAGATTTCAAAGATCTCAAACCGTTGAGACAGTTATATTTGGTTGGCTGTCAACTGTCGAAATTTCATTCACTAATATACCAGAGTTTGCCAAATCTCGAGGAACTGGACCTAAAGGACAACCGGTTCGATGCGTTATCTGCTTACGAGTTTCGCTATCTGAAGAAACTGAAAAATCTTTATTTGGATGGCAATCAATTGACATTTCTCGACTCCAATACTTTCAATGGTCTTCAGCTCAGAAGGTTGTCGCTGTCGCACAACCAGATCATGACACTGAAGGCCTGTGCGTTCTGTAATACGACTGTCCGCGAACTGGATATATCGCACAACAAGTTTCTATCGTTTCCCGACAACGTCTTGGAATCGTTGGCCACTTCGCTGGTCTCACTGAACGCACAGAACAATCACGATATGCACGACCCGTCGGTCAGCGTTGCAAATCTGGTCCGACCGTTGAAGTCGATCCGTGCGCTGACACTCAGCTCAATGAACATCGACGACAGTCTACCGGCCAATACTTTTCTCAACCAAAGAGACACACTGTTGACCATCGATCTGAGCGGTAATAAGTTTGTCAATATTAGCGAAAAACTGTTTGAAGGACTCAAACACTTGGAATCGCTAGACTTGTCCGCCAATCTTATGTTTGGTCTGTCGGAACCGGTAATAGAAACGCTCAACAGTTTGACCGGACTGTCGACTATTTATTTGGACGGCAATCCGTGGTCGTGTTTCCGCTGTCACGTAATGCCTCTACTCGATTGGCTACACGACTCTACAGCCTATACCAATGCCTGCGAACGGGACGACCGAAAATCTTGTGCCAAATGTGTTCATCCCGTCGATCTGAACGGTCGATCTATACATACTATGGAAGAGTGGGATTTAGTAAGTGATTTGTGTTATAATCATTTGCATCAGTGATTACGTGTCTGTCCTCCACTTTTTTTTAGACAGCTAAGTGTAGTGTAGTTCCCCATTAAAAATATATTACAATATAATCTCAATGAGAGAGAGAGAGAGAGAGAGAGAGAGAGAGAGAGAGAGAGAGAGAGAGAGAGAGAGATGTCATATACTATTAATATCAGTAGCTGTTTGGCAATGTCTGAGTTTTATAATCACTTTAATCTCTTTTTTAGACATATTTTTCTCTCTCATGTGTCTCTCAATGATAAGGCATAGTTAGTACAGTATTTATTTATACCGTATTTGAAATATGATATAATACTAAATAAGTTTTACACAATTTTCACATAATTATAATCACACACTCAATTCAATTTAATTTTGGTCGACAATTGAAATGTGAAAACTACTTAATTTATACTTAATCTTAAATACTTTTTAAAAAATTAGACATAACTATAAACACATACTTATTTAATATCATATCTCTTTAAATATAATTAATTTTGAATACATGAAGAAAAAAGTAAGAAAGAAAGAAAGAGAGAGAGAGAGAGAGAGAGAGAGAGATGACAATCACATAATCAATCTTTATTTTTTGTTTAAAATCACTTAAATATAAGTCAGAGACGTGAGAAACGTTTTGTTTGCTGTGATTATATTTAATATAAACCATACAATTGATTGAAATATAGTTTCCCATTAAATAAGAAAACACATAAAACATGACTAATATTTTAAATATAGTTTATTATATAAATTATTTTAAAATAAGATTAGTTTTTAAATTGAAATCTAAGTAAACCGTGAAAAAAGAAATTTCTTCGTTTGCTAATCTCTTTTCTGGTTTTATCTGTACTTTACACAGGAATGGTGTGCCGACCCAACCATACAGCTTCGTATGTCAACCTCAGAGCCCAACGTTGGCCTTGTATTAGCCCTATTAATCATCATATCGTTGGTCATTGTAATCATTGCGGTGATAATACTTTACCAAAAACAGGGAGCCGTCTACTATACCCATGAAGACGAACGTTACGACGACAAGACAGTGTTCAATGTGTCGGAAGCGGTCCAGCGATTCGCCAACGCCACCCGTACGCCACCACTGTCTCCCGGCTCACCATCGGGATCGATACGATCGTCGGCCAGCAGCCGATCATCGGCCAGTGGAGGCACTCGTACGCGAGCCGATTCTCCTCACTCATCGCAACAGACACAGCCATCACTACCCGCCACTCCCAGTCCTACCCATACGTCGTCCACGTCATCGACTACGACACCCACCCATTCATCAGCTGCTGCCGGTGCCCAGTCATCTGCGGCCGGCCAGTCATCGCCTGCCCTATCATCACAAGCCTCGTCATCGGCCGCGCAATCATTGTCTACGCGACCAAAAATTGTTATTTAGACATTGATATTATATTTACCGAAAAAAATTTAAATGTATATTTGTTTTTAAAAAACAATTTTGTGAATAAATATATAAATTTATTTAAATTTAGAAATATATTTACAAATTATTATTATTACTACTACTGTATATTACAATTATTTATGATGAGTCCATTAGAAATTTTATATGAGTATTATTATTATTATTATATAAAGTTTTTTCTATTATTATATTAAATAAAATATTAAATAACTAATAAAAACAAGTTGTGATCCAAATATCAAATATTTATTAAATTATTAATATTTAATATGTTTAATAGGTTAACCTAAATTTAAAGATATTATCTGTAATCAAATATTTGTTTTTAACAATACAATACATACGGTATAAATATAATTATTTTATAAAATTGTATTATAAAATTAAAATATTGAAAAAACAAATTTATTAATATTAATGTTTCAATTAAAATAATTTAATGACAGTAATAATTGTAATATAAAATTAAATTATTTATCATTTATTTATAAAATTATAAAATATTTAGTCATTCAATGAATTTAAAATACTGTATGTACTGTAATATTATTAATATTAAAAAAACTCTTTTGTTTTTTATTATTATTAAAACTTATTGTGTCTTTTTAATCTGTATTTGAAATGTTATAAAAGTGTATTTTTTATAAACTATTATCGTGAAAAATTAATTAATTAATTGGGGCAACTTTATTTTAATATTTTAATTAAATAAAAAAAATCTATGATAGAAACTATAGTAAATTTATCTAAAAGTTTCTCTTAAATGTATTGATCAGATTGTATATGAACTCAGGTGTAATTAATAGGTTTTCAAATGAATTTTATAATAATAATAATAATAGTAATAATAGTAAATAGCAAACAATAAAGTGCTGTTTAGACCTAAAAAATACAGTATATATATAACTAGAAATTTATGTGTCAGATATAGCACCGACAATATTATCATATAAATGGCATAGTTTTCACTTATAAATCGTAGGATTTTTTTATTATTAGACTTAGGAGAGAGAAAAAAGACCTTTAGTTTTATGACATTGTTTTACTAGAAATAACTGATGTTTTAACAACAAAATTGTTGTTTGTTTAACTAAAATGAATTTCCAGTTTTATGAGTGGATGCTATCATCAATATTGATCATTACATAAAAAAAACAAAACATAATATTTTATTAAATATATTTAGTTTATGTGTGTGTTTTTTAGGTATTTGTTATAACTTTTATAAGTATATTGGCAACGAATAACACAATAATTATTACCATTACTGCCGGCAATGATAGGTGTGTCCACCCATTGATTCCCTCACTCTATATGTATTTCAAGAATATTCTGTGCGTTTGCATATCGTCTCCACACCCAGTCATCAATATATTGCATGATTTGCCAGCAATTTAATTGTATATATGTTATCAATGTTTATTTTTTTAATTTTTTTTGCTGTTATTGTTTTTGTTTTTTTTCGTGTGTATACTTATAATACACTATTTTAATAAATATTTATTTTTTCCTCAAAATATATATAATAAATATTTAATATTTAATATTTAATAATTTTTCATAAATACTATTAATTTATATTTGTTTCAATGATTTTGTTGAATTTAAAAATAAAAATTAGATTTTATTAACTATCAATATTTTAAATCTAATTGGCATTTTTTTCTAATCAATACTTTTATCATATCATAAATAATTATAATATATTATAATTAATGACAGGTATTAAACTATATTTAACTATCGATAATATATTATACAACAAAAATAAAAGTTTAACTATTAAATATATATTTCTCCAATAATTTTAGCATTGATTATATTCATATTACAATTTATTATCATATTTATTTTATGATTCATTGATGCTAATCATTAATTATATTATTGCTTTTTTTATTTAACATATAAAATTTAGTTATAAATATTTATTAAATATTAATTTTCAGTAAAATTAGAAAATTTGGTTTTTAAAAAAATTGTACGTTATGTCTATCATTTTATTTATTTAATAAAATAATTAAATTAAATTAAAAAAATAGTATATTCATAAGGGTACAGTATATACACTGTAATAATAATAATAATAATAATAATAATAATAATAATAATAATCGTTTTGTTAGGTTATTTTTGAAAGTATTTTTCTCAATAAACTCTCTCATAATACACACACACATACATACACACACATATACATACACACACACACACACACACATACATAAACACACACACATACCACACACATATATACATACCGACTATAAATCGACAAAATTTAGGTCAAGGATGAAGACTTGTATTAAATTTGTAATGACATAAAGGTATAGTACTATATATATATACTGTATATATTGTATAGCATACTAAAGGTACACAAAATAACAAATCTAATATAATATCCATTAAATGAGTGAAAATTATATATTTGTTTTTCTTCTTCTTCCTCTTTTTTTCATTCAAATTGTAACACACATTGAAATTGTAAAAAAAGTATTAGTCTCGACAAGCAATTAAATACCTATTTTTGGACTATCAATACTACATTTGTGTGCTATTTATTTAACATTTTACCGGAAAAAATTTTATAATAAAACAAAATAAAATAATAAAAAAATCACTTCTAGTAAGTGATAAAATTATAATAATTATTATTAGAAAAAAATAAAATAATTCTATAGTATTTGTATAATAGATAAGAGAGAATTTCAGGGACATATAGGAACAAAAAAAAATTAAACACAGAATAGTAAAATAGATAATAAAAAAATAAATTTAATTAAAATCTCATTTCAAAATAAAATTATTATTAAATAAATTTCAATCAAAAATTTAGATCATTTCAACAACAAAATAAATTGTCAAATAATTTAATATAGAAAAATATATATAATAAAATACAGTAAATATTTTTTTCACTTTATCTGTATTTACAGTATATATCGTATTTACAAAATTATTATTTTTTTATAAATATATATTACTCTAAATAAATTTTTAATAATTATATTTGACTATATAATAATTTAATTTATCTTAATATAGTTGAAAAATTTATAAAATTACGTTTTTTGTATTTAAAATTTCAAATATTTTTATGTATACATTAGATACAGTAGTTTATAAACTTTTGAAGATAAAATTTATCGGAAAAAACATTTTTGAAAAATATGATTAATGAAACAAATTGTTATTTGATTTAAAGGTTAATCAGTTAATAGAAAACTTTCTTATCAGTCAAATATAGACTAAATAACAAAAAATTGAATCTCAGATACAAATAATTTCCAAATCTTGAAATATATATAACTATTATAAACATTTAATACACTAAAAACATGTATTCACCTAATATGTAATTAAACACATTTTCTTATTGTTTAAATAATCGTTTTTTGTTGAGGAAATAAATTGGTTTTAAAAACAGACAATTTTCACTAAATGTCATAATAATTATGTAAATTTCAATCCATTTCAAACAACGTATGAATTTCATAATCTCTCAAAAAATAAATGTTTTTCTTAAACAAAACATTTAGTAAATGTCTATTTTGAAGAACTTGAATATATATTTTACAAAAATAAAATTAAGCCATCATTTTATAAATCGTAAATATAATATATATAGTTTTTATAAATAAGAAAAATTGTCAATTAATTAATTAAATCAATAAATTTGATTGACTAGTAGATTGACAACAACTCTATATGTCATTAATGCAATTGTTTTTTGTTTAAATGCTTTTAAAATCTAGCAATTGATTTATAATTATTACAAATAATTTCAACTATTTATATCAATATTTATATATAAAACAATATTAAATACAGTATTACACACTTTAAAAAAACTAGTGACCACAACAATACCGATACTAATAACAACACCAATTACTTGCACCGTTGGCTATTGGTAACTGTGCGGAGCCATTGTTATTATATGCATCGGCAGTGGTCAAGCTGATACCGTTGGCGCTAATAGGACTGCCCTTTTTGATGCCCTCCCAGCCCTCTTCCATAGCAAACTGGCCACTTTCGACCCGGTTGTAGATATTTTCGGCTATCCGTCGAAATGTTTCGTCGACGTTGTATTGATTCTTAGCCGACGTTTCGATGAAATCTAAACCATAAAATTCGGCAAAAGTTTTGCCCTCTTCGGCGGTCACTTCACGGTCGTCCAACATATCGGACTTACACGACACTACCTGATAGACCACCCGACTCGGGTCAATGTGTCGGCGAGCTTCCAGCAGCCAGTCGGACAAGTGTTCAAACGTTGACCGTCGGGTCATATCGTAGAGCAGTAGCGCTCCGACACTATTACGATAGTAGGACCGCGTTATGGATCTATTAGACAGACAGACAGTTAGATATCGATATAAGATAATCAATAGTGACATCAAATAGTGGACAAAACATTTTTTACCGAAACTTTTCCTGTCCTGCGGTGTCCCACAACTGTAACTTAATTCTCACTCTTCCGTTACGAATGGTTATGATTTTGGCAAAAAAGTCGACACCGACGGTAGGATCTGACCACGTCGTGAACTGGCAATCGGTAAACACCCGCAATAATGTCGATTTGCCGACCGTCGAGTCACCGATCAGTATAAGTCTATCGACCAAAAAAAATAAAAATGCAAAATTATTGTTGATATCATTAATTGTTTCACCAAAAAAATATATGTCTTAAGAAATAAGGATCAATTAAGTGTCCAAATTAGTGGTCACATATATGTCTGGCCATTTCGGTGGCCAATCAATCACCGATCGATAGATCAGATTTGATATCAATTGAATCCTTTACCTGAATTGGTAGTCAAAGGGCGCCTCAAAAACCATTGTTTTTCTTAATTAAAATTTTGATTTTATTTTATTATATTATCACTGGTTTAGCAAAAAAACAAATAACAAAATATTATATTAATATATTAATTATTATTAACTATTTTAATATAACTATTATTATTATTACACCATTTTTTATTTAAAAACAAATTGCGTACTGTTTTTATAAATATTATAATTAATATTATTATAAAATAATAATCATATGATTTGACCCTTTAATTCATTAAAAAGTGTCTATTTATGGGCATTACGTGCGATAACAGCATAACTTAAGTTATATTTATTTTTTTAAACAACAAATAATAATAATTAGTTTAAAAACATTAAATTGCGTTCAAATCAAACACAACATTGCATTTACTGTTATAATAATAATAATAATAATAATAATAATAATAATAATATGTATAAACACTATGATATATATTACACAACATATGATAATCAGGTATTAATAATGTTAAGTAAAAAATCGGGGATTTTTCTCTCTCTCTCTCAATGTTTATGTTGTTTTGATTTGCATTGAATTTAAAACACATTCAAAAAATTAATGGTTTGTTTGTTATTATTATTATTATTATAACTTATTTTGTGATGTGTTTTGTTTTGTAATTTATTTATTTATTTTGCAATAATATCTTATGAATGAATGAATGACTCATTTTTTGTTAACATAAATAATGTCTAAATATTTTGTTTTTGTTTTATAGGGAAGAGAAATAAAAGTACTGTATATTAATGTAATATTTTAATTAATTATTTAATTTACTAATAAAAAAATTGTTACTTATATTTAGTAATATTTTTTTTAAAATTTAATTAATTAGTCACTACTACTACTTCCGCTGTTACTGTAAATAATTTAAATCAAATATGATATTAAAATTAATAATCATATAATAATGATAATAATTTTTTTAAAACATTACTTTTTAAAAATAATTTTTAAAAATGTTTTAATAATAATGCAATAAATTATATTAATTTTTAAAAAATTATATAGTGATAACATTTTTATATTTTAATTTAAAAGTGATATTTAAAAAACCAGTTAAACTAGTTTAATTGTATTTTTTAATTTAATTATTATAAATAAATGTTTGCCTATTAAAAGACTTTAAAATACTTATGAATATTGAATTTAAATTAAATTATTTATTGTTATTAATTGATATTAAAGTTTAATACCCGTATATTACTAGTAATCTTGATTTTAGTTTTTTTTATAAACTTATAATGTTATTGAACTATAATTGGAAAATATTTATATCATATTATAATGTATATATAAACATACAGTATGTTTTTCATTGTATTAAATAATTGTACCTGGATTCATTTTTAAATATTATGTTTGGATTTATTGGTAATAATTAATATAAATAATTAAATTTTCGAATATTAGATTAGATACTGTAACTTTTATCTAGATCAATTAATTTTTAGTTAGTTATTATATTATAATATTTGAAATAGGATATTTAAAAAATAATAATTTATTATTATTAGATAATTACAGACAAATATTTCAATTTACAATCATAATTGAATTATTCAATTTAAATAAAATTATATATTCAATATTGATCAACAATCTGTCATATGATTATTATATAAATTGTTTTAGATAAAAATTTTAATCTAGCTCAATTTGTTAACAGAAAAACACGTGTGCCCGGATCTAAATCCCAGATTATATACTGTATTTATATAATTTTTTTTTGCTAAGTTATTATTATAAGTGCATAATTATAAATATATTTTTTTCAATTAGCTATTATATCAATCTTAATTTAAAGTTAATCTCAACTAATTATATGCATTATTTTTTTGTTGTTTTATTAATCATTGAATTTACATTTTATACAGTATTAAGTTCTTTGAATATTATTAACATTTAAGATTAAACATGTGATTAAACATATGTGTCACATGTATGTCTCATTTGACTATTTGATTAGATATATACAGTATATAATATAATATATCATATTATCATTTAGGATATTAATTAGTATTATGACTTATACAGTACCATATAAATTATATACATTCTATAGTAGGTTTAGTTATTATAGTAAATATTTTAGTTTATTTAATATAAATTAACTAAAAGTTAATCATATTATAGATAATGTGTTTTATGTCAATTTCTAAATAATATACATAATAATAAAAAATCTAATTCAATTATATTTAAATATCAAATATTGATAAATTGACAAAAATAATAATTATTATTATTTTTCTATTATTTTATTCTTTAAAATTTGATTAGTATTTTTGTTATCATTAATATCGTATTTACAATATATTATTACATATAAAAATTTAAATGTGACATTCACATATTATTTTGTTTTTTTGACATTTGCCAATTAACATTGATTATTATTATTTTTTAAATACATTTACATATTATTAGAAATTTTAATACAATATCAATTGAATTTCCCGTTAAAAATGTCAAATTATATAACAATATCAATATTGATTAAAAACAAATAACAAAAAAAAAGTTTATCATATTTACAGTATTTAGTAGTCATCATAGTATGTTTAGTTTGATATTATTTTACTTATTTACTCAACTATGATATTTACAAAAATATTAATAATAATAATTGACTTGAAAAGCGTAAAAAATTATTTGTTATATAATTTAGAAAATGATATTTAGTGATAAATAACATTATCGTATTATGAGATACCTGTTTATGAATTTAAAAAAATAAAATAAAACTATTTAATAAAAATAGTATTAAATATTATATAAGTATAGTATGAAAATATTTAGTAATATATATAACGGTATATACACTACTGTAATATTTATGGAAGTATTTTAAAATAATAAGATATTTACTAAAAGTAATAAATAAATAATTTTATCATTTTTGTCAATTTTATTATTAACATCTAAATAATTGTATTTTATGAATCATAAATTATCACTACATATTATTGCATTATTTATTAAATTTCTAACTTGATCTTATATAACAATATAGATATATAATATGACAAAATAATAATAATAATATTAATCACTGATACGAGAAAATAATATTTCAATTGAGTTTTTTACTAATCTTTTAGTTATACTAAAGTACAATAGGATCTAATGGAAAACATTTTTAATACTATTTTGATTACAATTACATTTATATTGTATTTAATGTATATGTAAATACAATAAATATCATATTATCTCAACAATTCATCGATTAAATTACAAAAATAGCTATGTATAGCATATGAATCTTGTTTTACAATAGTTAATCAAATTTATTTTTTATGATTTATCTTTATGAATATAACGAATACTTAATTATTACAAATTAATTACTAATGTACTGTCATATTATATTATGTAATATAAGTCTAGCATATATATACACACATATATATATATATTATAATTGTGAATTATATGCTAAATAAATTTTTCTCGAGAAAAATAACTAATAAAAAACTTATTAAATGATACTTATGATATAAGTTATGAATATAAAAATTGCAACATTTTGTTAGAAAATCATTTATAAATAGCCAACTAATTGACTATTGAATCTAATATTTATATTATAATTAAATTTATATGCAACATAATATTTGATATATATATATATATATATATATCATGAATAACTTTATATTATATATATACCAAAATTTAATATTTATTAATAAAAACTAATAGTAACAAAATTCAATATTTACCTAGATATTATAATATCAAACAAATAAATAAAAAAATTTCACTATTAATTATAATTATTACTAATTATCAAATAAAAAATATGATACACTGAAAAAAATCATTTATTAATTATATTTAATAACAAGTAATATAACACAAAAACTTAATAATAAAAATAATAACATAAAATTAATTTTACAAAAATTCTAAAATTATTCATTTAATATTTTTATCATTTTGAAAAATAAATTTTGAAAATTTTCTAACATTTTATTTGCTAATCATAATACAATACAGATTATGCACAGTGTATACTGTATTTGTATGATTGAGTGTTTTCAAGATATATTGAATCTAAGATATAATAAAATAAATTGTTTGTAACAAATAATAAAAATTTTTATATTCAATATAATAATATAATGTATATTTCATAAATATATATAAACAATATCTCTCACATGAGTGCCATTTGTTTTTGTTTGATTTGATTTGATTTTTCGGGGGGAGAAATAAAACTAAAGATATTTTACTTAACTTAACTAAATAATAAAATAATGCATTAAACTTTTGTTGGCTATTGTTTTTATCAAATTGTTTTTATCAATAATATTTATATAAATATAATTGTATTTATATTGTTAAATAAAAACAAAATTTACTAATCATATGATATTACAAAATGTAAAAATATTTGGAAAAATATTTTTGTTTGTTTTTGTATAAGTATCATAAAATTAAAAATGTTTTGTTTAAATGGTTAAAACATTATCTACCATATGATTTGATTATAAGATATTTTTTAAAAATGATAAAATCATTATTATGAAATAAATTATTATTAGCATATAAAAGATATCGTTTGCATGCATACAAAAAAATATATAAATATATTTATCTATAAAAATTAATATTTTGATTATCACGGTTTATTTAATAGTCATAATTTATAAGTTAAATAAACTAAGACAATGAATAGGCTATCAAACAAATAAACACACGATTATTTGTAATTTATGTAAATCTAAGTATACACTAAAAACATAATTTAATTTCGTATCGCAAAAATATTGATATCATTAACTTTGAACTTTAATAACTTTTTTATTTTTTAACTTAAATAAACAAATTTGATATCAAATGAAAGAACACTTTTCAAAGTTTATAAGTCAATAAATAAAATTGCATTAATTATCATATTATCTATAAAAAAGCATAAGAAGTAAGAAATGGTAAAAAAAGTTATGTACAAAAAGTATTTTCGTGAAATCAAAACTTTAAATATTATTAACAAAATAAAGCTATTAATTTAGTA